AGCTTTGCATTTCAGAACGAACCGTTGGAAGCTTCTTTAAGCTCCCCTGTACATAATTTCAATTCCGTGTAAGTTATATCGAGTTTCCTGTAGCTTTTCTTCCTTTGAGAACTATCTTTTTCTTGACTGAATATGTGACTCGTAAATTCTGTTCAGCTGAGAGAGTGCTTGCTGGGAATTTTATGAGATTCATTACCTGATATAAAAAGATTTGTCTAGTATTTGCAAGCAAGTCATGATCGAGTAGGTATTGATATCAGCTGCGTTGGAAGCTGCTCTTTATGCAGCTTAAAATTTGTAAATACTGGACTTCTATGTTCTATAAACTCAGAATTAATGAAAATATGGAAAATGAATCTTGTTCAGGAAGTTCTCATACTTTCAAACTAAACTAAGATTTGTTACAAATTCTGAGTTAGGTAATGTGTATATATGGAACTATTTAAAATATAGCATCACAAGTCTCTTTCCTATCAGTATATAAAGATAAGTCATAAAACCTTATGCTCTTGTGTGTTCAAAGTTATAACTCTTTATTTTCAATGTATTACTTATATTTGGTTTTCTAGTGTATTGTAAAGATGCAGGTTTGAGAAATTGTGTTGAATTCTCCTCTAGCATAGGCTAAAACTTTGACTCGATAAAGGTTGTATTTTCATTTATGATGCACGTGCCTGAGACATGGCACAAAGTATATTGAGTTTGTTGGATGAAAAGTTAAAAAAATTTGTAAAGATTTTTTTTTTTCTTAGAAGACAGACCAAGCTGAAAAAGCCCTTGAGAAATGCTGTTCTTTCCCCTGGTGCACCATAGGGGAGAGGCAATTTACTTCCTCCCTTCCTGCAATATAATGCTGCATGATGGTGATGCAACTGATTACTTTGCTGTTGAATTGAAGGAAATGCTATTACGTAAAAACTCACAGAATACGAATTTCTTATTTATATAACAAGTGCTTTTTTCATCTTGGTTTGGTGTTGGAGGGGAGAGAGAGCTATCAGCTGTTTTTCATTTGACAAAACTGTTGGAGTAAGAGAAATCATGGCAAAAATAATCACAGAATCACAGCGTGATTGAGGTAGGAAGGGACCTCTGGAGGTCGTCTGGTCCAATCTCCCTGCTCAGGCAGGGCCACCTACAGCTGGTTGCTCAGAACCATGTGGAGACGGCTTTTAAATTATCTCCAAGGATGGAGACTCCACCACCCCTCTGGGCAACCTGTGCCAGTGCTCGGTCACCCTCACAGTGAAAAAGTGTTTCCTGATGTTCAGAGGGATCCCCCTGTGTTTCAGTTTGTGCCCACTGCCTCTGGTCCTGTCACTGGGCACCACTGAGAAGAGCCTGGCTCCATCTTCTGTGCGTCCTCCCTTCACATGTTTATACACGTTCATGAGATCGGCCCTGAGCCTGCTCTTCTCCAGGCTGAACAGTTCCAGCTCTCTCAGCCTCTCCTCATAGGAGAGATGCTTTGGTCTCTAGTTGCTAGTTTTTAATATTTTTTTTAATGTATTTTTTAATTCTTTATAGAATCCATGTTGTTAAAACTTAACTGGAAAATTTACTACTGTCCTGAGATAAACGTAGAAATCGGGGAAAAGGGAACATACTAGAATTGAAATATGGAGAAAACTGAGAATACAATGCTTGACAATTAAGATGGGTATTATCTATACCCTTTAAGCAGTCCCTCAGCAAAGACAGCCATTTAAGAACTAGATTGATATAATTTTGCTTGATGTCAGAGAGCATAACAGAAAGCTGGGTTACTGCGGAGAATGGAAAAATCCTTGTAATGCAAGTTAATTGATACACTTTGGGAAATGCAGTGCTGCAACATCGAGCATATGGAGTTAATTTGATGCTGTTGATGCTTCCTGATTTCTGCTGAAGCCAGCTGGGGTCTTGAGCTGGAAGAAGTACCTCCGTGCCATGCTTCTCCCTTAGCTTTTTTGTTTTGGGAAGCTTTGGTAGCTCAAGCACACTGCAGCACATATGTAGGGAGCCAGGCTGAGTTTGATGCTTTCCCCAAGGTCATACGCCCCTGGACCTCAGTGTTCACTGCAGCAACATTCAAATGGCTTTGTATAGGGATGGCTTAATTCTTTCAGACTCAACTAATTTGGATGCTGCCTGAGACTGTATATGCAGTAAGCCCCCCACAAAAGCAGTATGTTATTGGAATGGCTCTCCATGAGATCAGCTCAGGTGCATCTGTATCTTAACCCAATTCAGTGAGTGTGAGTGTGTTATTTCTGTGCTAGGGTGCAAGATCTATCTGTTTTCTCCTTGCAATTTCATTTTTCTCATGAGCTTCTGCTGTGTGCCTGTCATGGGTGTGAGGGTTATATCTTTTTACTGCAATGTAAAGTATTTGTTTTGCATATCTGGTGATTGATTTTTTTTTTTTTTTCCCCCTTCTGTTCTTGGCCAGCAAGCATAGGTTAGTTTTCTCCAAGTAGCTTTAGTGTTTTTACCCTCATATACTTCCTAGGAATTTTGATAGCTTGTAGTAATATGAAATAGGTAAATGTATTGATCATTTGTTTTCAATCTGGTTTGGATTGCCTATCATGGACTAGTGTTACCTGATCATCTTGAATTGCCTGTTCTAGGTAATTTGTAAGTGGATTGCTCTGACAGCTCAAATGTTAATTTTATTCTAGGAGCCTTACTTAACTTAGTTTTCATTTGGTGATGGTCTGAGGACTTACTTTCAGAACATACCAACTTTGAAAATTCAGCAGGTCTCATTGAGTAAGAACATCTGGGAAAGAGCAAAAGAGGCACTTGCAGTTGCAAAACAAGGTTGATAGATGCTTACAATTTAGTGCCTGATGCAAAGTATTACTTTAAGGCTCTTAGTTCTATCTCAGAGTTACCGTAGTGACGTGGAATGTGTTGATCTGGTAAAATTTACTCTGCAAGTTCAAATTGGTTTAAAAAATTGATACATAAGCCTGTTTCTACCGTAAAAGTTTTATGCTAGATCAGATATCTGCTGCCATGGATCGAGTTTGCTTTGCTGGCTGATCCAGCATTGGTAAGCTTGAAACAAGTTGAAACACATCAGAAGTTTTAAATGCAGCAGCCGTTTAAGACTTCTCAAAGTAATATTGCTCCAGAGTTGTCTTGTGAAATTTGGTAAGGCTTAAAGAAATTTGCAATATCATTCATGGGGAATTAAATAGTTTAATTCATTTATTCATATGTATTGCACAGCATACCTATTTCAGTTGCTACATAATGCAGCCACAAATACAAACTGTGAATTGATGATCACTTTTTAATGCGTTAATGATGTCTGATACTGTGATTTAATATAGAAAGGACTCCATTAAAGCTTTTCAGGTTTTTACATTATTCCACATCTTCTGTGAATGCTATCCCTCTTGCCAGTTGGTTTATTCACATACGCATATGTGCAGTTCAGTACTGATACGGGGGCTTAAGCATGTGCAAGTAAATACAAGAGGAAGTTTATTCGTTCTCCTAGATAGTCTCTGTCCCCAGTTTCCTTGGCTTCTGCTGTTTTGTGCCTGTGATATTGTGCAGGACAGCTGAAAATGCAAGTTACTCAAGGACATGCTTTTCCAGACCAGTATCTCTAGAAGAGAGCAGGACATCTGTTGCATGGCCTTAAGGGCTAGTTTACTCTAGGTCTTGAATATCTAAGGTAGGTAAAATACCTAGTTTGCTGACTTCTTTACTGTCAACAGAAACAGATCTAAAATATATATTTATACACTTGCATTTCCTTAGGACTGAACTTCAACAGTTCTCTTATTGTACCTGTAGCACAGAGAAAAAAGGAAAAAAGTGGCAGACCTGAATAGTTTCTAAGGAAACTTTTCAATCAGGATCTGTTATCAGGGTACTTGCTGGTTTGCCAGTGTCTCGTTGAACTTAAAAATTGGGTTGGATGTCCTAAATGTAAAGATAAGCTGTACCCTATAAAATATATTGTACTGTTGTCCTTTCCAGATGTATATGAAGATTTTTTCCAACTTTTGATTTGCAGACCCCTTAAAGTTTCAGCTTTGATCTCCTTATGACATGATTTTCTTTCGGATGGAAAATTTTCCATCAGAGGTTCCTCCATGCGAGAAGGGTTGTATGTGTATATTGGGAAGAGGGAGAGCTTAACTCATAACAATAGCACAACTCATTAGGAAAAACTTCTGTGTATTTTCTAAAGTTACATGGAACTGCATCCTTCATTATCTTAAAGCTTGTCTTAGTAATAGTCCATGGGTTGTAGCTTGAAAAACATTGCAGTAGGGGGCTTTTTTAGCTTTTCACTTTTCATAGATCTTAAATAGTGTCTTAGAAAATTTTGCTTGAATTCTCTCGCATACAGCTGTAATTACATTGGGTTTTTTTCTAGAAAAAAAACAGAATTCAGCCAAAGCATACTTATCCTTTTCAGCGGTTTCCCCCTGCAAGAATCTGCTTTGATTATTCTTTGCCGAATAACTTAAACCTAAGATTTTTAGTTTTTAATTAAAAAATTAAGTGAAGAAATATACATTGTTTTCCTAAAACAAATTGATTTTTTTCTTTTTTCTCTTCCCCTTTCAGTTCAAAAAGTAGTTCTCTCTTCTGAATGCTTTAGTTGAAATACTTCCACTCAGTGTACTGGAGTACAACTGTTTGTACTTCAGAAAAATGGTGATGTTTCACATTCCTCAGGTGAGATACGCAGCTGAGCACAGCCCTTCCCTTGCCAATTCCCCTCCTTTGAACAGCCCTGCTCGTTTTCCTGGTGAATGAGGCCGTTGCATTGCCAGCAGGGCAGTACCATTTTCACCCTATGATCCTTTGCTAAGCAGGTACATCCTTTATGGAAGGGTAAATTTGGGGTTATAAGATGTTACTTATTAATTTTCTGGGTAATGGCATTAGTCTTAGGAGATAAACCTCCACTGATGACTGCTTACGAAGACAGTGAGTGAGGCAACAGATACAGTTACCCCCATGTGATATTTTAGGTAGGTGAGGCGATGCGGCAGGCCTGCCACTGTTCAGCTTTGGGCAGTCTTCAGCACAGCCCTGCCAGGCAGCGCGTGTGTGCCGTGACTCTGCTGTTGATGATGTACCTGGCAGGTTTGCCAGCCCTCACCTTCCTGGGCGATATTTTTAGCTAAGTGTCTCATTTAGCTTTCTCTTCTCACCTTGTTATCCCATGGCTGATACCTTAGTAGGCTCTATCAGAAATCCCTCTTTGCTCTTTAAACCCACTGTCTAAGTTCCTGTACGGTGCTTGTATCTGTTCCTTGAGAAGCTTCAATATGTTGTGCAATAACGCCTCCAAAATTCATCTCGCCTACTCCCAGCAGGGCAAGATCCAGGTCACTAGTGGTGCTGTGGCATTTGATAGAAGCAGCAGGTCCCTTTGCTGCCTGCTCTCCCCTCAGCCTTGGCGGTGCCTTGGGGCAGAGGCTGTAGTGTAGCCGAAGCAGGCAGGGGCCATGTGGCACTACAAGCTTTGCAGTATGAGTGCAAGGGCTGCCATTTGGACCTCACCCAGCCTGGCTGTGGTGGAAGCCTGTCTTTCCAGGTGGGTAGCAGAAACAAGTAGCTGCACCAGCATTGAAGGCAGAGGGAGCAGCTCCCCATTGCTTCCTTTCCTGCTGCTTGAAACACCTGCTTCAGTGGGAGCTGTGACACTGCAACAGTGTCTGTGACTGGCCTTTCCCCATAGCTGGGGCTTTGGCAGGGTATAAACTTAGCACTGATGATTCATTGATGCCTGTGGAGCCAGTTTGGTCAGGACATGTCTCAGCTGAAGTGCTTCAGCACTGGTGGCCTCTTACCTTAACAGCAGGAACCACTTCTGTAGCCACAGCACATGTTTTAAGAGCAGTATCCTATAGCAAAGTAGTGGTAGAAGTCTTGTTACATTATTCAAGCTAACTGTTTAGTTTGAGTTGTGCTATGGAAGCTATAATGTTCCAACTTGATTGAGTTCTGCAATGTATATCACCTAGTGGGACGCTCAATTGAAAAGATACTATTCAGCCTGTGTGTGTATACAGTTGTGTCTGTTACTGTTTCATTTCCTTTAGCATTTATTTGGATAGCTGTACACAGTTCTCTGTGTAGATTCAGATTCCACCAATGCGATATGTAAAGTCAGTTTTCATTTTAAACCTTATCTTCAGATTGAACACTGTGGACATAATGTCTTCTAGCACCCAAATTGGCTTGGTTTAGTAATGACAGGCAATGATGATAACTGGGGCAGGTACTTTTGTAATGGGAAGGAAGATCAGCATTACTGGGAGAGGGAAATAATGGTAGCAGGAAACAGGCCATGAGGCTGGTGTTCCTCAGCGCATCTTTGTTTGGTTTAATCAATCTGATCCAGATATTTGTGTCTCTTTATAATACCAACCTGTATGTAAAGCGTGTGTCAGATGTTGCTGTTGTCATGAACACTGTAATGATAAGGAGAAATCTAAATGGTGAATGTACAAGTTTCAACCTTACAAATTGCTGCTGTGCATGTAGATGTGGTGCTTAAGGCAGTTTCTGGGTGTTAAAATAAAAACCCTTGGTTTTATTTAGTTTCTATAAGGACTGTAAAGGTTGTAAAACTGATTGATATTCACTGGTTGGGAACTGTGAATTTTTGGATTTACAGCTGCTGATATGCTCTTAAATGGATTCTGTTGTGTACATACTGATATATAGACTTTGATTACCCCGTGCTTTTTTCTAGACAACTGTTTTTTTCAGTAAGTTTGTGTTTTATGGCTGGATTTGTTGTATCAGTTGGTGGGGGGGAGCCTTTGCCTGTAAAGCATGCCACTAGTCATATGAAAAAGGTTTTGTTGCTTACAGCTTCAATAATTACGATGGTTGACTTTACCTGAAAATTTGAGCATTGTTTCTTTCATGTTACCTGCTTCATAAGAGAAACAGAAAATTGATCTGTGAACATGGCAAGACTGCAGGAGGAAACAGAGTTGTATTTCTGCTTTTGCCATAGTGATACTATATATGAGACTGGGTCACTTTTCTTAAACGTTAGCTTTTCATTGAGATCTCTATTTGAATGTTGTCTGTTTCTTTAACTTGAGTCTTAAATTTGATTTCAAAAAATGATCTTGGAGCTCCCAATGAAGTACTTGGAGCAGTACTTACTGAACAAGGTGTTAGGTGTTTTGAAAAGTCATCTCTGAATACTTTCATGCTGTGCATGCAAAATTGATGTTTACTGAACTTAACCACTCCAAATGTGGTTCCCCATATATAAAAGTGAAACACTGGAACAGGTTGCCCAGAGAGGTGGTAGATGCCCTATCCCTTGAAACACTCAGGGTCAGGTTAAATGGGGCTCTGATCTAGTTGAAGATGTCCCTGCCCACGGCAGGGGGGTTGGACTAGATGACCTTTAAAGATCCCTTCCAACTCAAACTATTCTCTGATTCTAAAATCTGGTTTATTTTCACAACAGTCCATTTTGCAAAGATGCTGTAAAAAGAAGAGCTTGTACTATGCTGCTAAGCACTATAGAACAGCCTAGAGAGAATTATTAAAGCAGATTAATGTCTGGAAAAAATGCAGTAGATAAGACCAAAACCTGCAAATGAACAGTGAGTTTTAAAACTAAAAGAGTAGAGACTCACTGAGGAGCAACAGTCTGTTTCATTGCCTGGATGACAAAGCGTAGTCATGGGAAAAAATATTGTGGTTAAATATAAACTGTATACTTTATGTCCATAAACCAGACAAGTTAGGGTTGCCAGGCACTTTAGGTTTTGGTACTGTGTAACTCGGCTGGAGTTGGCAAATTTAGTATTCTCTATAGCTTTTCAGGTGAGCGTAGATGCTTTAATCAGTCTCAATCCAGGTGCTCTTGTTTCAGTCTAGTGCTGGCCTGTATGTAGAGAGGGTGTCACAAGACCTTAAGGGACAGCTTAGGCTCAAACATGCAAAAAAGAAACTCATTAATAGATTTTTTTTTTCTTTTTTTTTTTTGACATAATGCAGAATTGGGGGGGGATTTAAATACGTTCTGTGATGTTAGTCATGGCAGAATTTGACAAGTGATGCAATTGCTTCTGTTGCCACTGACAGTTACGAGGTTTTTTGACAGCCCTATAGAATTTGTTCTTTGTTAATGTGACAACAGCTCTACTGTAATTAAAATTATTTCTGAAGTGCTACCTAGAAACTAATTTCAAAAGGAGGAGAAAGATACTAAGTTACTTAATATAATTTCTGCGTGTTCAATTGTGTTAGGAACATGTTCTATTTATTTTGGGTTCTGTCACCGAGTAATTTCGTTGCACATTTTTCTAATAAAAATGTGAATGTGTGCTTCAACAGACTTGAAATTATCAAAACTAAATTTTATTTGACACATACACCACCCCCACCCACCCCCGCCCCCCAAAATGAAAAATGTCAAGGTTAGATCAAAACCTTATGCTGGTTACTGAATTTCTTGAATGTTTTTTTTAATTAATAATTGAATTTTAGAGTGTGAATATTATACTTGCAATAGCATGAACTGTACTTGCTTTGCTTTAATTTTGCTAGGTAATGTGTTCCTTAGTAAATCTTGTATTAAGTGGGTATGTACTGAAGTTAATGGCTAGATTAAGAGATATGTAGAAAAGTGTTTGGTCACGTTAACATGCCTTAAAATACTAAAAAAGGGAAAAGGAAGTAGCATATTTGGGGCAGTTACAGATTTCTGTAAAATGGGAACAGAACTGCTTGAAACCTGTTGCAGAAGAGTTTGTATCTGTTTGGTTTCTTGTGCGTGCTCACCTGCATGTCCAAGCAAAGGTCCCTGGCCCTTGTGGAAAAGGGGAAGCGCTACACTGCACTGCTTCTCGTCTGCTGTGGACACGGCAGAAATGCCGCCTTTTTGGGAGAGCAAGGGTGAATTTCTTACGGTGTCTGTTCATTGAACTTGCTGTAATGCTGTATTTTTTCAAATTTACTGACGTACTCCTTACTTAGAGGCAGACTTTTAGAAAATGCAGTAAAATTTCAGTCTTGCAGAACACTTAGCCTTTGATTTATAGTTTCTGAAATGAGAAGGTGTTTTGGCTTTCTCTATTCAAGCCAGTCAACTCTTCAGGATTTTTACTGATTTTTTTTTTTTTTTTTTTTTTTTTTTTTTTTTTTTGTCCCTCTTAAGATCGCGCTGGAAGCATCAGTACTCTTGATTCCTTAGATTTTGCAAGATACTCTGATGATGGCAATAGGGAAACGGATGAAAGAGTAGCAGGTAAGTTTTTTGTCTGATTTAGGAGTCATAGAATGCTAACTTTACTGCTTGACTTGTTGTTTCTAGCATAAGTATATTTAAATGAACATTCCTGAAGATGACAAGACTTCACTGGGGTGGTTTAGCTAGTCACTTAATGACATAATCATGTTTCAGACACTTCTACTATAATTACTGTAAATATTTAGGCAGGTGTACTTCTGTATGATTCCAGATGTCACCAGGGTAGAAGCAAGCAGTATACTTGAAAATTGTGCCCAGTTTTTGACAATAGAACAGTATCTTGATATTGCCTACCAACTACTACTGTTTAGCTGAAACATATGCTAAAATATTCTGTGTAGTAGTCTGTGACTACTACTATATGGTGATAGCTTTCTGATGTAAAGATCTGTAGCAAGTAATCTCTTAAATATAGCTTGTGTGTAGATCAAACAAGCATTACCAAACCCAGAGTAAATTTGGGATTTTCTCAGTTCCATAAATCTTGTTTGCTGCAAATCTTAATTGTAGTGCTTTTCTTCTCTCCCATTTGATTTCGTGATTGTATAAGATTGTTTCAAAGAAGTGACAGGGCTTTTTGCCTCTTGCAGTTCTGAACTTAGGAGCCTGTGGCATTTTTAATTTCAGGATTTATTATTATCTCGCCAAAGGCAGAGACTGCTTTTCTCTTATATTTGAAATTATTATAATAATCTCTTTTGCATGTGAGCCATGTTTCTCTGATCCAGGCTGTTTTCTAAGTTCAGATGTTAAGTTATTCACAGCTTCTATAGAGAAACCCATAAAAGCTCTCTAGAAATTGCTACAGAACTTTGTTTACTTCTTGTCAATTAATACTGTTTAATGTTGTGAGCACATGAAAGTTGTCCAAGCTGTGACCTTTGTTCACATAGTTTAGCTTTATGAAACTTGAAATTATGCAAGCTGCTGTGTCTCTGTTCTACGCTGTTGTCTCTGCTCTGCACCACGCTTCATCCTAGCAGAAATACTGTCACCTGCTTAGGCAAAGAAAAGGCTGGTGAAACATAGTTCTCTAAAGGATCTTGATTCTGAAATTTCTTCTCTCAGTCAGTCTGAAATGGCAACCAGTATTGACCCAGAGAGAAGAAACAAAAGTGTTGGGAAAAATCTTATTTTTCTTACCCGGCCAGTGTTTCTGAGGTAAAGGACTGGACTAAATTCATGAACATGAAGCACATTCAGGTATTTTGGTGCTCTGGTCTGGAACTATAGGTACCTACTGTTCTTCGATTTATATGGGAGCTTCCAGATTCTTATTACTATCTAATTACTGTCTTTTTCAATATAGGTAGCCAGTTTTAAGGGGGCAATAGCTGTAAATAAACAGCTAATCATCTAAACAAAGTGTGTTTAAGGAACCCAAGTATCTCTGACTCCTGGAATACAAGGAAGAAACAAGCAAATTCCGAATATTTTAATTTTTTCATCATCTTGGTAGATTATTCCTGTTTCTAGACAATATTTCGTAGCAATAGTAAGTATTACTGAGAAAGCTCGTTTCATCTTTCCTTGGAGCTGTCTTTCGTAACTGAATTGGATTAAAGATGCTTATATAAAGTAAAAACCAGTCAGAATTGACATCCAGTAGAACCATTAATCTTCTGACGGAACATTAATGACAAAATATTGATTGCTTCCAGTATGAAATGAATATATCCTAAAATTAAATATTAAATTTAATTAAGTACATCCTAAAATAGATAGAGATTTTTGAAGATTACAGTGTATTAACTGACCACTGTCATATGTAATAGACAAGCAAATTATATGGCGGGATATTTACATTACATTTCTGTGTTCTGAAGGTTTTCCGAAGAGTTGTTAAAAGGTGACATAAGAACTTGAACAAAGCAAGACCGGACTCGGAAGTTTTCAAAATATCCTATTTCTACTTAAAATTCTGGTTCAATTATAATTGCTTAAAATCTTTTGCCTCAATTCTGTTTAAAACCATCTACCTGAGCAATAAACTTCAGTATTTAATTTGCACATAAAAAAACTATGTTAGTAGAGGTTTCAGAACCTTTTCTGAAAGGTTTTCCGAAGAGTTGTTAAAAGGTGACATAAGAACTTGAACAAAGCAAGACCGGACTCAGAAGTTTTCAAAATATCCTATTTCTACTTAAAATTCTGGTTCAATTATAATTGCTTAAAATCTTTTGCCTCAATTCTGTTTAAAACCATCTACCTGAGCAATAAACTTCAGTATTTAATTTACACATAAAAAAACTATGTTAGTAGAGGTTTCAGAACCTTTTCATATCCAGTTCCTTCTTTGAACAAACTCTGGCTAATAACTTCTGCTTTTGACATAGTTCTTAGCTGCAAATGCACTTTCAAACATAACTGGAAGTCCGTCCTGCTTATCTCTTCTCATATTCATTCTTCTCAGTGAAGAGCTTTGATGCTTAGGAGATAAAATTGTAATCTGTTGTGAAAGCTTGAGGCCATGATCTCATAGTCATATTTTTCCTTTGATAGTTCTGAGAGTGAGGTTTGAATAGTTTCTTTTTGTAAATGCCTTTCTCATGCTGTTATCTCTGTTTTGTTTACTGTTTGGACAGAACCCATGATTTTTATGTCAATTCCCTGGTCAAATATCAAATGAAGGATAGGAAATAAATGCACACCAGTTACTAAAAGAAACTGGTCCCGAGTCAGAAGGACCTTAAAACTGAGGTTAGAACATATCCAGTTACGAATACTTTCATACCATGGCAACATTAGAAAGTACCAAATAAAAAAATGTGCATGTATACCATCCAAAGCCATCGTACTTCTGTTTTGCCATTATGGATGGTGTTAGACTTAGCTTTTTACTTTACCAATCCAAAAATTCCTGGAAATAACTAGAAAGACTCTTGTTTGAAATGGATTTCAGTATTTGAAACCTGTTAGCCCAGTTCATTCCATCTGGCGTTAGAATCAAAATTTGGCCTAGAAGCAAACATGTTTTGAAGAGTTGGTGTGAACTTGTTGCTAGGGAAATCGGATCGAAGGAAGCTAAGTGAGTCTCTTCCATAATATTATTATCAGCTTGACTGAAAAGATGCAAGTCACAGAAGCCAGTCAGGATGTGGATGTGCATGACAAAACTAACTGCAATTTAGAAAAGATCAATTTTCTTCCTTATCTACCTGATCTTAACATAAATACAGAGAGCTGTTTAATAAATTGGGTAATACATTTGTAATCCATGAAGAGTTTCAGAAAATATATGCATCCTTAGAGCTTGCAGTTTACTAGAGGGAAAAAAACTTGTCCTCCAACACTAATAAGTCTTGAATCTAAATTCATGTTCACCAAACAGTTGGTGCTAAGATAAAGTCAGTACTGAAGGATTTATAAGGCCTAGTAAACCTCCTCCAAATATTCATTTTCATAAAACAACTAGAGAATGGAAAACCTATTCCATTCCTGTGGAATAAGAGTACACCTAACTTGAAGTCAAATACCCACAGGATTTGATGTAAATAGGTCATCTAACATTCAATCTAAGGAACTGAATCTTCTGCCACATCTTAAATTGACCGTGTGCACAAGTATGTTTGTGATCTAAAACCCCTACTTTCCATAATTCAAAATATTTAGTATTGCTAACCTGCTTTGACATCTACTGTTCTGAGAATCTGATAATTTTAAAAACAGAATGCTGTGTTTTCAATGATAATAAAATTAATTCTCATAATCAAACTCCATTTCAATCTTTTGTGTTCTCAGGTCTCCCTGCATTAGCATTCATTTCTGGCTAGACTATGTATCTCTGATTAGCAGAATAAAATACTGTCCCTGTCAGGATTTGAAGGGAAGAGGCAAGTTCAAAAACCACGTGATTATTTTTGAGGATTTCATTTATCTAGACTTAGGTTCGTGGTTTCTGCTTTTTATAGAGCCTTTTTGTTTGTTTTTTAAGAAGTACTGTTACTTGTGTGCAATCAAAATCAGAGGAGAATCTTAAATAAACAAACAAACAAAACAAAAACAGAAGACATCTGTAATACAACAATCACTTGCTAACCTTGTGTGTTCAATTTGTTCATCCTGGAAGTGGGTCTGGTTTTGTCTTTCCATTTCCTGTCTTAAGCCTGTTAAGCAGTTGTAAGCCTCCTTAATTTTCTTCCAGGTCGATAGTCTCCAAGGGTTGAACCTGAAGACGAGTCTGCTGTAGTTCAGGTCTTCTCTGTAGTGGGTCCTGTCTCATTAACTTAAAAGCTTTAATGAGGCTAATGAGTGAAGTGTTGGCTTCCCACTATTAGAATCATAACAAGTTCTCTGTTAGCTTGCTCATGAACTCTTATGCTGATCATAATTTTTGTAGCTTGATAGTCATCTCTCACGCTGTAGTACAACTTTCTGGTTCAGGTCTATTTGTGTTACGTCCTGAAGCGTTTCGCACTGACTGTAAATATGGTCACCTCTTTTCTTAGGACTTTTATCAGGAAAGTGGGAATTAGGAAACCTCAGGTCTTGAAGTATATTGTGGTAGTGGCTTCATTGCTAACTATAGTCAGAGAATTTAAATTTCTTCTGATTGACTTAAAATGTATGCACAAATCCATCAAATGTAATGGGATGCCATACACGTTTTAGAAGGCATAATTTAGGACATCTAGCATTCTAAATTTACTTTACAAGGAGGAAGAACTCGAAATGACAGTTAAGGACAACAACAACAAAACTTGTAACAGTATGTCCAAATTTGAGGAAAGCTAGGTAAGCACAGGGGCCCTTAATACTGCAGAGAACTACTTTTAAAAGAAAATGCCAAAATGCCATATAGTGGCTTCACAACATAAAACTACCTTTCTACTGTTGTCTGAAGTACTTCATACTGAAGTATGCAAAAGTCTGACAAGACGATTCATGTGTCGAATGTAAAATTCTAGTATAATTGGAAAAAATACTGCTTATACAAAAGCAAGTACTGAAAATTTTTAGAAGTACTGTTTATTTCTTCAACTTTTTGGCCTTGGCCCAGCAAGACTGCTGTTCATCTAGATCTCAACTTGTTCAATATCCCAAATCGCAGGTTGTTCTTTATAGCTAACTTCTCAATCTATGGTTCAATAACTTATGAAGTCATTAACAAATGTGGGTGAATAGAATAAGATCCTTGAGAAAGCTTCACTTTTAAATTTCGAAGCTGAGCAGACAAGCTACCCACTCCTGATATGTGCCTCTCTTTTAAGGTGTATTAGATTAGCTGCATGAAAACTGAAACATTGAAAAATCGCTAATCTGAAAATCTTGGTCTAGTGCTTAGTTGCTTGCTTGAAAGATTCAGCTCTTTCAAGTAAGAAGTAATTTTTTTTCAGAATGGTAGCTGTAGTGATTTGAGTTCTTTATAAAAAGAAAAAGCAAGAGTGCCACTTAAATTCGGAACAGTTTTCTTGCCTAAGGCAAAACAGATTGTTCAGAAATGCCCGTTCTTGTAGGAAGATTAAACAACCTCAGAGCTCTAAATTTCTGTTCTCTGCTTTCCTGATGTAGAGGAGAATCAATTTGGTTCTTTCCTTTCCTAGGCTGTCTGCAGTAAAAGTTTTCTGTGTTTTGTTCTTAAGGAGTGTCAGCTCCTTTAACCAAGGACTGTAATGAGTTATACGTGTTATCAGTTCAGTCAAGCATGAAGTTAAACTTTAGCTGGCTGTATCAATGCTTTGGAAGGCTTAACTTCTCTAAGGTACATAAGCTTTACAACAGAAGGAGAGAGGGAGAGAGAGATCAGGTCATTTATTTTAAAAGTCAGTACTTGACAATGGTTACAAAGAAAGGGGTTAGAGGTTACTTTTTTTATTTAAGAGAATGTCGTATCATCAGCAAATGGGGATTTCCAGTGTTGATTTCATTAGTACACATGTTGAGTTAAAAATCATTATATACTTGGCAAAATATTGCATTTCAGCATAGCTTCTAAAATAAAGAGCTTTTAGTCATAATTTAAAATTTGATTGAAACTACGCTGTAGCTATTTACAAATATTTATGCTTATATAAAAAAACTACAAATAAACTTCTTCAAATAACAGCTAAATTTGTGACTGACTTAGATGCATCAAGGTATGTATGGTGGCAATTATAATGGTGGCATTAGTAAGACTAGGAGATGAGGTACAACTGTAACAATGCTGTGTTGTAGTAGAATTATGTGGCTGTTGTGACATGCTGCCAGGCGACAACTTCTCAAATATGCTATGTCCAGAATCTTCCACTGTTTACAGAGAAACATGCAGCAGAGTAATCTACTTTTAAGGTTGAATGGGTAAAGTCCTAATGGCTTCTAAGAATTTTCAGCATCATGACAGTTCACTAAAAATTAATTCTTGCCGTCTGACATGGGTTTGTCTGACATGAATTTTTTGGCTTTCTATGCCTTCAGACATGTCTTATTCCTATTTTCCTTAATGGGATTCCTGAGTTTTTCTCGTTTGTGTTGGTTTTTTAACTTTTTTTTATTATTTATATCATTCTAGTGCAGGGCACTCCTGATCTGCAACTGTTCTGGTCTTTGAAAATATTTTACAACAATAAAATGTTAACGCATAGTCATTTCCATCAAAAGAATTACTTAATTTGAATTCTTTACAATTTTCAAAAACTAACAAATTAGTAGCTTACAACTTAGAATCGTAACTGTGAATTAGTAACTCGAATGCAAGGAAGTGCTAAAATTATTAGATACTTCACTACAAGAGTATTTTCTAACTTTGTTGCACAGAAGTATTTGCAGATCAGCATTGCTGAATACTAGAGAGATTTTACATATTTTATTCATTGTATCCTCAGTTGCGCTTTTGTATCGCTGCAGTAAAATTCTGTGCATCAAACAAGTTACTTTCATGTAGCAAGTGTGGTGTACTGTAGTTACTCCTTCAGTTTTTATGGATAAATGCAAACTGAGTGAATCTTTTTTTCCATGCGTGCTAATTATCAAAAGACTCTTAGTAACAGATGTTCAAAAGAGGAAAACAGTTTTTTTGTAGTCTTCAGTAGCATTTCTTACAAGCAAGAGCCTATGCAGTGTTTCTGCCATGCATTGTCCTCTGTGTAAATATTTCAAAATGCCATATTAAATTGTTTCCAGGCAGTGATTGAATATCTCATTAATATTTTCTTATTAAAAGCAGCTACAACATTTTTAGTTTTGCATGGGAATAAAATAAATGTTAGATAATCTATTTAGAATAGTTTAACACTTCAGTATGGTAGCTGTTCTGTGCTCATCTCTTCTAGTTTAGTACAACAATCCTTCTTTCTGGTGACTACATTTAAGTGTGATTAGATTAATCTGAGAATTAATGAAATGCATGTAATTATCTGGTAATTCCTTAAATAGGTTCCCTTAGGTGCTCTAACTGTAAATGGCTATAAAAAGAACATTTACTGTTTTGCAAAAGTGCAGAGTTTTAAAATTTGAAGCCACAGTATACATATGACCTCAACATCAAAACACATGAAATTCCAGTGCAAACAAAGCACTACTGGCCCTTTTTGGAGGAAACATTGGAACACGAGAAACACATAACAGTGACTGGGGAGTGAGGAGGTGGCTAGATAATGGCAGCTAGAATTACCTGTTTTTGAATCTCTAAAGCTGACTCTAGATCATTGAAAGTGTTGTATAGTCTAGAATCAGTGGGAAACTTTTAAGAATAACGGAGCAAAGATATTTTTGCTTCAAGCTTTTCTGTAAGTACTATAGGAGAGCTGCATATTTTGCTTTTTTTTTTTTTGGTCTTAATGCATCTCTTAAGTATATTCAACTAAATTCAAAATCTTAATCAACTCTAGGGTATTCCTAAAACTCCACTATTTTTTAATAGAGATTTAAAACGAGATTATTCTTAGTGGTAAAATAAAGTTTCAAGTTCTGGCATTTAAACTACTAAAATTTCAGTGTATAATTTTATTTAAAAGAAAATTGGTAGTCTCAATTGGACAGTACATTCACTTCGTGGTCTAAGCTTTGCTACATGGAGACAGCTTCCTCTGCTGCCAGCATGTATTTGCTTCATTTAGATCTGTCCTCTGATTGCCCACATATTCCCTTTGCCCAAAGAAATCAAAATATTTGACAGCATCAGCTGATTGTAAAAGCGGGGAAGAAATAACAAGTGTTTCCCAGTAATATGCACTGTTAAAAGCAAGCAAAAAAAAAAAAAAAAAGGACCCCCAAAAGCCTACAGCGAGTCCTTGTCAGACAGCTTGAAATTTTGATTTAGCTAACTTAAGGCCAGTGAAACTATGGAAAATGTTCACCAGTTTGCTTTCAGACCAACTCTGCTGCATGTGTTCATAAGTTCCATACAGGTTGCATGCTTTCTGTTTAATACAAACTGTATATTTTTTTTCACACCCATCCTTGCTTTTTATATTTTATTTTTGTTTCCCTTGCCTTGGTTGGATGCCTGTGTGTGTTTAATCCAAATCCCTGTCCAGTCCTGGAGTTTGAACTACGGAAAGCCAAGGAGACCATACAGGCCCTCCGAGCCAACCTGACTCAGGCTGCAGGTGGTGTACATAAACCTTTTCTTAAGTCTCTACTTTGAACAATGTAGAAGTAGCTGAGCTCATTCTGTGTGAAAGAGTAAAATTTAGTTACTTTTTTTTCCTCCCTAGAAAACGAAGTTCCTTTGCAGGAACGAAAAAATTATAAATCAAGTCCTGAAATTCAGGTAGGTGCCTGGTGATAACTGAGCTTTGCATTGACTTTAAGACAGATAGGCTTCCGTAGTTGGAAGGAAGATGAACCAAAGATGTAGTGTATTGTTTTCTTTTTTCCAGGAGCCAATCAGACCTCTTGAGAAAAGAGCTCTAAACTTCCTAGTTAATGAATTTTTATTGAAGAATAGTTACAAGCTTACATCAATAACATTTTCAGATGAAAATCATGATCAGGTAAAGTTTTCTTGTGTTTTTTTTTTTTTTACATGCCTGCTTTCCATATTCTGGTCTTGTCATAAATTCAAATGAACTTAAATGAAACTGTGCATGTAGTTCACCTCCTACATATGAGTATTCTGAGAGTTAAATATGTTAGTTAGCATTTTCATATATAACGCGTCGTTTGAAAACACAGCACTTTGAGGAGTATTTTCCCAAAATTTGTAGGAAGGAGACAGAATTCTTGCATTCTTTAAAGAAAGCAAAACAAGAAGAAAAATACTGTGAGTTATAGGTACTTATACACTTTCCTGGATTCTGATGGACACCTTTTCAGTTAAACTCAAAGATCTGGATGTAGTAAAATTTTGAACGTAATCTTTTCCTTAAATCATACTCGGTTTATTTGTGCAGTATATACAATATACTCATTGTTTGTCATCTCCTGGGCATATATATGGGTATGAGTATACTTAATCATGCTGTGGCATTGAAGAAGTCTTGGAGAAGCTCTCAGTAATAAGGAGTTATCTTAGATATTTCCAAACATAGCTGTGCTTTGATGCATTTTTCTCAGGATGATCAGTTTTATGTGTCTATTGGCTTGCATTCATGGGAAAAATTTCTTCAAATGTTTGGATGGTTCTAATTACATTCTGACTGTTGCTGGGTGAACAAAACACCCAGTAACATCAATACCCAATTCAGCACAAAACTGGAATATTGCCAGAAGAATTAAATATTGAATTCAATATTAAATATTGAATTTCAACCAATTCTATCTATAATTAGTCCTATATTTTTCCTACAATTCCTATCCTAATCTGTAAAGAAAATGGGTTGTTAAATAAAATTTCTGGATCATTCACTTAAGATCTGAGTTTAACAGTGCTAGGTTTCATACAAATACTTGTGAGGATACAGCCCCAAAAAGAGAAAAGATGAATAATTTATCCTTACTTTTTGTGTGTTCTCAACTGAAAATGTTTTATGTTGTAAGACAATTAGCAAAAAAAACCCAGGAAAGTTCTTAATTCTAAAAAGTAAATATAAACAAACTACAATTAACATATAGAATACACTTTTTTCCTAGATTATTCACATCATTCTTTCAGAAAATAATCTTTCTTCAAATAGGTGTATGTAACCAGACTATGGAAAAATATAGTGAAAATTGTGAACAGTAGGAAAAAAGTTAAAAAAACCCCCAAACTTAATGACATTAAATTTCAGGTTTTTTAAAGAAATCATAACAACTCCTGTATAACAGTGCACATGCATATTTATATATTTTCGGACATGGAATAATCTTGTAATAATAAGATGGTAACATGTCAATGAGAAAAGGAAGGACATATAGTGATGGTTTGAGACAGGAAGCTCTAGTATTGTTTACACCTCTGCACAATTAATAGTTACGTCCAAATTTCACTGAGAATATGCACCTCGTCTGTCAGTCATCCACAGAGCTATTTGACTGTCTGCTTCTGGAAAATTACACCTGTACTTGTGAATGAGATGGGAACAAAACGATACCCCTATCAGTAGAAAGCCTTCTATCAACTGCACTGGTTTCTGCTAGAATTTGACCAACATTATATCTGATTCTTAAAAAGTGTTCACGTCCTAGAAAAACAAAAAATCGTGATCTATGTGTTTTTGGAAGGTCCTCTCTTTAGTACATTACCTAGAACTACCTTTAGGGAGAAACTGCTTCAGGTCATGAAATGGATCCTTCTTCTACTTTTGTTTCTTGCTATCTCATTTAAGCTTTCATCTCCTTTACTACAATGCAATCTTGACATGATTATTTTGCTTTTTTATGACCTTTTTATGATCATCAAATGATGAAGAGAAACAAAAATAAAAGGAAAGTATATTGTATACTTTAGTTTCTCTTATTCCTTTGAAGGATTTTGAACTTTGGGATGATGTAGGATTGAACATTCCAAAACCTCCTGACCTGTTACAACTCTATCGTGACTTTGGAAACCATCATGTTACTGCGAGGGATGTGGTGGATGTATCAGTTGGTGTAGAAGATGATGAGTTAGAGGCTGCTACTCCTATACTTGGGAGCGTCCCTGTATTTGAAACAACGCCACAGTCAATAGAAGTAAGATATTGTACAGAAGAAATGTTTCAGCTGTTTGCAGTACTACTTAAATTTGTTGTACTAAACTCTTTTGTTTCTGTCTTGTATTTAGCAATGTTTAATAGTGCAAAAATTAGAAGATCAAATTAGTGTGTTAAACAGTGAGAAATGGTCTTTGATGGAACAAATCCAAAGACTTGAGAGGTATGTACTTATCACTCTGTTCAACTGCTGATAAATGTTGGAATAACTTCTTAATGTTTTTCTAGCACATATATGAAAACATACAACTTACACTTGTAAAATTACTAGGCGTTCTTCAGAGCAGGGCAGTCTTTCCTTTTTAATACATGGTATTTGATTTAGAAAAAGAAGAGACTTCAAACTATTTCCCTTTTATGACCTGTGTAACTTAACTTTGTAATCAGTTTTGTTCTTTCAATGCAACTTCTTTATTTACTACTTTGAAAACAGAATCAGTTCTGATGTGTTTTGTGTAGGTTTTCTCTTCAGTCAGCTTTATTTCACTCCTTAGTACTATGGTGTGTACAGCCTGCAAACACTGTTATGAAGAGGTTTGTTTTAATAACTTACTTCAACACAGTTTTTCTTTCTACAGAGCAAGACTAGTAGATATGACAGTATCTTTAACAACAAAAAAAAAGACTTTAAAAGTTTGGTCAAAACATATGGTTCTGTAAGCTATAAGATATCATTCCTCTTAAGAGATGCACCAATACAACATATGGGCAAGTGCATAATTTTTAAGTGGCTTTATTGACTTGCATAGTTACCATTTCAAAGCCAGGTGGGATAGTATATATTAATTCACCACTATAGCTTTTTAAGTTTTTCATCCCAGATAGAGTTCTGTCTCATGACAATTTGTGTCTCAGTGCTCAGATTTCAGCCAGAAGCAGATAACACTATTGTTATTCACTTATTTCATTGATTCTGTCACTCTAAGTGCAGCATTTTTCCTACTACTAATTATTGACTAAAGAACTCCATTAAGCCAGTGCTCATTTGAACAGCTTGTGTGATAGAAGTTATTTTTGTTAAAGGAATTTTTTAACATACTGGAGTTGAAGAGGGAGCTCTTCAGTATGTTGTCCTTATTTCTGTGCTTCAGTCTTGTGACTCCTACAATCTTCTCATGAAAGCTACAAAAATATTTCGTTCTTTGCCTTTCCTTTTTTAGTGAAATAGATTTTCTCAAGAATGAAAACTTTGCTGTGTCAACAGTTTATGGTGTAGCTCCCCATCCTTCTTTAAAACAAGTGCCTCTCACAGTCTCAGAGGACAATGGACGGTACTTGGATATCAAGAGCTCTGAGAATGACAATAAACATGGAAACACTGAGGAAACAAGCCTTTCTTTATCAGCTGAAGTGGATTCAAGGACTTCTAAAGACGATATGCTAAATTCTGTGCCCTGTAAAGAAACAGAGAAACTGTCCTCTTGTGCTTCATCAACTAAAGCTGCAGTCCACTTCGATAAGCCTAACAGGTTAGTGATAAGTTTTAAACTGGAATGCTTTAGTTAAAAATTCTTGTGAAATGGATAGATATTTTTCTAACAGTAAAATTCCGCAGAATTCATAGATCATTTGTGTTTTGAATGCAAATAAAAGACTTCACATACCTGTAGGGTACAGTGCTGATATTTTCATATTGTTCCTAATCTTTTTAGGAAGGAGTACATTTGACAAACCTACATTTTTAATATTAAGTTTAAGGTTTCTTTTCACCACCTACTTGTTTCTAAAACCAGTCCTGTTCCTTGCAACAAAAAAAAAAGTAAAATCAAAATGGTGAATGGGAAGACAAGATATTTCTATTCTCTTTTAAATTTTAATTTCATCATGAAATCTCTTCTGTTCTGCTTGAAGAGTGGTTGGGAAATTTTTTACTTTTCCTATGTAGGTGTGTATAACTCTCTTAAAGTATCCAAGAGCTGTATGATATTTTTTTTTTAAAATAATCAGAAAAGGTATCTAATAACATTCTGCTTTTTGAGTTTTGAATTTGGGGCAAGTCTTCACTGGGTAACTGATTATTTTAATTAAAATAGGGTATTCATGTTGTGTTATTACATAGAGACTGAGTTTGTGTGTCTGAGTGTTCTTGAGAAAGCCTCTCCAGTCTACACAGTCTTTTTAAGCATCATAGTGAAGAGGGGAAGTAACATGTTCATTAAGTGATAGATAAACCACTGTGTAGCCATCAGGAGTAATATGGACCACAAACTTGGGTATATAATAATGAGGGTATGTACAACTTCTAAAATCGCCATTGTGGACAACGATGCCCAAGTAGCTCACCTTATGGTCTTACTGTTGCTATTCCTAGGGGAGCAGGTAGCCATTCTACTTTGTATTTTGTCAGTTCCCTTAGTGTTCTTTTGCTGGTGTTGATACAGTAATATGTTTCTAGAATTATCTTCCATCTGAAAATACCAAGTAGAAATCTATGTGTGGTATTCTGTGCAGGTGAAAATTCAATACAAGCTGCAGGGGGGAAGAAGAAGAAAAAAAAAGAGTTGCTACCCCTGCTAGTAATTAACTTTTCTTGCAAACCCTAAGTATCCTATTTTCTCTGGATTTCCTGAACTTCTTGCACTGAGTCCTAGGGACAGGGGCACTTTTTCAGTGATATCTTAACTTTAGAATTGAACAGGAAGAAAAACTTCTGATTTCTGAATACAGTACCTTAGAGTCTTACTACAAATTTCTTCCCTTCTAGTTGAATATACTAGTGTTTAACAGGAAAGTAAAACTTGGCTCAGATTTTTCTGGAAAATTTGCAATGGTTCCATTTAAGCTTTCCAGACTTTTTTTAAAAATTTCTTTCATATCCTAGCTGAATATCTGGACTATGTAATAATAAAAACTTAAAGCTGTTGCACATTGATTGCTATAAACTTGTCTACCTACTTTCATCTGCGGCTTGTTGCAAGTTTCTTTTTGCTCAGAGTAATTGAGAGTGCTGGGAGGCATTAAGTGCATGAATATTAAATTGATAGTTTGGGGATACTGAGGATGGGTATCAAAATTGGATGAGATCACTGAGTGAGGAGGGAACTATGAGTATCTCCAGTGGGATTTATGACAGCAGTCTCTAGAAAAACAGAGTTTGTTTTCCTGCTCACAGCTCTTTTAAATATAACTGCATGTGAATTTATTTGACAAGTAGTTGAATAAAGCCTTGAATCCCCATTGAGTTAACTTCAGAAGTCCCCTCAAATGCAGTTCACTGCAGAAATAATGCATGTGTAATATGTAGCTATTTTTGTACTGAATTTTGGGCTTAACATGTCAGTGAAGGGTCAAAGGAAACCATATTTGATAACAGTGTTTTATAGATCCGTATCACTAAATTTTCTTCCTGGATTATGCACTTGGTTTGTGCAGTAAATTTTTTCATTAAGATTTATATTATTTGTTAAGAATTCTCAGATCTGTGGGAGAAGAAGCACAATAGAAGTACTGGATATTTATTTATTTCAGTCCAGGGGTGGTTAGTTGTAAAAGACAATTACTACAATTTATTCAGAATTAAGAGGTATTAAAAACTAAGACTATCCTAAAAGGCAAGATTGTTACTACTGTAGCTAGGGAGTGGATTCTTGGCATAAATCTTGCCCAGATGGGAAGAGAAGATAGAAGAGCAAGTGAGCCCGCTTTGTGTGACTGCACTCAGAGCAGCTGTGCGTGCATGCCCGCAAATGAGGATATGGCCATCATTGGAAAAATGCCTCGTCTAACAGATTGCAGTAGAAAGCATTAGCAGCAGTTTAAATAGACTGTACCACATGTATTTATTCAACTCATTTTAGGTGTTTGGTAGTTTGCACCAAATACAAGGTGTTTTCTGTATAGAGTAGTCACTCCTGACTTTTTCAGTAAATTGACTCTTTTGTCCCAGTATTACATGGAATAGAATAGTAGTACTTGGGGTTTGTATTCATCATACTTTCTTATATTTGAACATCTTCACTACTGGCACCTGTTGGCCCTTGAAAAGACTTTCCACTGACTTGTGTGCAAGAGGCCTGGGTCCGTCATCATTTCTGTCCAGCATAGCCATCAAGGATTTTACTAGACTTCATCAATGAGAAGCTTTCTTGACTCTAAATATAGCCATCTTAATGGGATCCATGCTGCCCAGAGCTTGCTGTTAATTAACCCACAGGGATATTCAGTGACATATTGTCATACTTAGTTTTCAGTCTCTGCAAAATGGGGATAGAACTTTGCCCTTATGTAGGATTTTAATTAAGTTTTGAAGTGGGGAAGGATCTGACATGCTGCGGAATGAATGCCAAGGTGAAGGACAGCCAGGGCAAAGGGCTGGCCAAGGCCTTGCCACTCTCTTAATGTTAAGCTGCTGCTTTGCAATGCTTGCCCCTGTTCTTCCAGTGTAAGTAAACCTTAAAGCCTTGAGTAGAGCCTGTAAATCTGTCATTCCAGAATACTTTTACAGAATAAAGACTAACATACTGTTAAACAGAGGTCTTTTACAACTCACTACCATCTGAGTCATTTAGTAACTTTTTAAAAGTGAACCCTTGCACAAAACCAAGCTGACTGGAATTAAAACAAACTTACTTCATTAAAATTTAAAATGTGTTTTAAAAACCTGTACTGTGAAGAAAGAAACTTGATTTTAAGTAATAAACATAAATTCTTATTTATCATGTTTTGTAAATACTCAAAAGAGGAAAACTACTCTGGTATATGTATCCATATTCTCCTGGATTAGTTTAGACAATTATAAGTAGGAACTTAGATTCTTAATGTGCTTTTTTTTTGTTAGAAAAGCGTGAATGATGATGTATTTACTACAGTGGGATGTTTCAATGTATTAGATAAAAATATATATGTCCATACACATAACTGCATGCGCATAGGATTTTTTTGCACTTAGGTGCACAAAACAGCGTTTTTAAGAGTTGAAAGGTGACACCACTTTCCATATAAGAAGTAGGAATTGCCTCCTCCCTTAAACTCATGCAGTGTTATTAGAGGATTCAAACAGCAGATACAGGGTGAGATGCTTTCTGTGCATGTTTTGGAAGATAAATGTTCTTTTTCCTCTTTAAGCATATTGGATGAGGCAGTGTTAGATTAGCACCTAAATACAGGCCTCAGATAAGGCAGGAGTTGTCCTTACTGGGAAAAATAGGATGCTGCTGCTGCTTGCCTGTTTTACGTAATGGTCAATCCAGTAATTGTTTTCTGAGAACATTTCTGCCGAATTATCCTCCTTGGACAAGGTTGTTTTAAGACTCTCATCAGGGTTTTATGTGTTTGCTTAAGGCTTTGAGTACCTCAGCTGTGTTGGCTGGTGCTGTGCCATGGCCATGAGGCAGTACTTCTAAAGATACATATCTACATTAGGGATTAGGCAGCAATTTAAGGTTGGTTTTGAGGTTCTCGCTATACATTTGAATCCAACATTTAGATCCCAAAGTGGCAGTTGAGCAATCTCTATTTAATCCTGAAGCTTGTAAGTGACTGACTATTCAAATGTTTTTATGCAATGTGCAGAATCAGAGCATTAAGCAAAAATACTGTTTCTTGTGATTTCCGCCCCTCCCCCCTTCCCCCAGTTTGCATAATTGTATGCTTCCTCTTGTATTGCTAAAGCTTCCTTTTCTTCATGCTTTAGTCCTATTTTTGTCTGCACAGCAGTTTGAAAGATGTTACATTTTTCGGAACTAAAAGTAACTTCTTAATTAGGACACCCACTTTTTTTCTTGCTACAAACTAAACACCCTAAAAGTCAAAGATAATTTTAAACGAAAACTTCTGCAATATGCTTCACTTAAAACATGCTTTCTGAATGTCATTTTACCTAGCTGGTTGAACCAGAGTGAAAGAACTTGTTCAGTCACCTTTCTGATCTATGCTTCTTTTCCCCCTCCCTTTTTGACGATATTTCAGGAAACTGTCACCAGCTTTCCATCAAGCACTACTGTCTTTCTGTCGGATGTCAGCAGACAGCCGTTTGGGATCAGAGGTATATTTCCCAGTTGATGTAAACTAGAAGATCCTTTATACTGCATGGCAGCAATAGTTAAACAAGCAATAATTGCTTTGAAACAAGACTTACTAACATATATGGAGAGAGAAATTTATGTGCATGGAACTTAAGAAATAAGGATATGCTTTCAGATTTTTAGCTTAAATATGAAACCTAGTGATAGATATGTAGTTACTGGGAAGTTTTGAGTCTCTGCAAGTAGATTCATGCTTTTGAAGTTACTGCCAGATCAAAAACTTACGGCTTAATGTGTGTGAGTAAATTAAATATTTTCTGGTAAGTGATCAGCCTGCTGCAATTCTTATTATTCCTTTGACAGGATATTTTTCTGTTCCTGTGCTTCATTTAAAAAAACCCAAACAAACAACTTGGTTTTCTAGGTATCTCGGATTGCAGACAGTGAAAAAAGTGTCATGTTAATGTTGGGACGCTGCCTGCCTCATATTGTTCCTAATGTGCTGCTTGCAAAGCGAGAGGTGAGGAACCCTGAAATTTTACTTTTTATTTTTACCAGGATGTTTTCTTGTTCATTTTGAAGATGCTGTGTCTAATGTAATGAAAATCTGTTACTTGCAATCATGTTCGTTCTTTTGTGCATGCATCTCTGCTCCTAGAAAATGGTTTTACACCTCTGTCAGGTGAGTTCAGTAAACCTGCATGGTATCCTAATATTTCTTCCTTTGCTTAAGGCACCCATTAGCATTCAGCAAGACTAACTGTTACTGTAGCTCCATCTGTTTGTGCTAGCACAAATGTATTTGTTAGAGAAGACCATGGTTAATGTGTGTTATAAAAAGCGGAGGATGTAAGTTCAAATATTAAATTTGGTTTATTTTATCTATCAGTTTTAATAAGGATTAATGTTCAGGTTCTTTTGCAGCACTATGTACTTCAACAAAAAATTTATTTTACTGTCTTTTTCTGGAAGCTCCATGTATCAGCCAAGATAAGGTTCATCAAAATCGCACCTTCATAAGAAAATTAGCAATCTTGCTTATATGTTTTCCTTAAATTTAAAATGAAGCTAAATAAAATTATGAAAATGTAATGTTTATTTTGAATGTAAATAAAGATGGTGTTTTGCATAATCATTCATACTATATAGTGTAGAAAAGGAAGACTGTGAATGAAGATGGAAAAAAAAATGACTGGTTTTGTATTGCTTTGTTGTAAATATTGCACATTCGCAAATGTGTAAAAAATAAAAATAAGAAAATATATCAAACAAAAATTCAGTGACCTTGTAGTTGACACTGAAATAAAGGGTTAGAAGTAGCATAGCTTGTTGAGTAAGTTTTAGTCCTTGTTGAGGGGACCTACAGTATGGTAGACTTAGTAGTGCGTTTTGCATAAATTCATTTTAAGGCTTTGAAAAATCCTCAAGAAATTTGTACTGATCCTATAATCTAAAATTTCATAAGATATGAGTAATTATCAGCAGTTGACATGGTAAGTTTGAGACGTACCACATTTTAAAAGTCTCAAAACTTTATAAAAGGGGTTTTTTTTCTGAGGGGGTGGGGGTGTTAACTGGGTGCTCTGGAAATGGTTCTGTTAGTAGTCTTCCAGAATAATTCTGTGAATGTTCCTGGATCAGTGCTTAACTTCTGATTTCTTATTTATTCCTTTCCTTCCCTCTGCTTGGCAGGATATGGTATTTTGGCTTCTCTTCACAGCTTGTAGCATAGTCTGTGTAATGCATTTAATATTTTTGTGACCTTTTAGGCTATTTCCTACTTATTTTGTTCTACAGTTGAAGTTACATTTGATTACACGTATTTTCGCCTTAAACGAATCATCTGTTTCAATTTGATTGAAAAAGCCACAAGTGAGAATTGTGTAACTGGATTGCATGGGATGCTTAATGTTCCGAGAATTGAAATTTGCTTTAAAAATAGCTTTTCTCAGTTACCACCCATTGCTATAACTATTGTAATGTTCTTTCAGATGTAGTCATGGAATTTGAAGGAAAACTTGGGTAGACCATCTGTTAGTATTTGTTAAGATCAGTATTACGAAAAGCTAACCTAAGAACTAGGCTTTCTTCAACAAGGTACAACTGTGGGTCTTGTCCAAAAACAACCTTATCATGAGAGAGTCTTAGAACAACTTTACAGGGAAGTGGTGTAAAAATATACCAAAAGATCACTAATTTGAGAAAGATATGTAACAGGTTCGGGTTATAATGCAAAGTGATCGCCAGTCTGCTCTGAAAAGATACAGTGGTAGTATTTAAGATCTTAGACTGTCTGTGTGTTAGACATGACAATTAAACACAGTTTTGTGATGACTCCCTGAAGTACCTATCTTTGTTCTTTAAGCATCCATCATGTTGAAACGGGTTACAAAATCTTAAGCTGAAAATGTGCTATGCATTTTCAGTTTGGAGAAACTGGGTTTGTGGAGGTTGACAGTCTCTTGGTAGGTATTGTCCTTTACCAGAGATTCAGAAGCCATTTCTCCAATGCTTTTAACCCTCCTTTAAGATCAGTAGCAGCCTGCCTAACTGATCCAGTAAATACTACAGTTGACATCTGAGTGACCAGCTAATGGCAGAATGTCTGACGCATTTCTGAAATTATATATGTTATTTTTGTGTATTGGTGCAGCTTTAATTGTTCTTCAATGTCTGTAGTTTCAGTTCCAATGGAAGATAAGAAAAAAGGAAAAATACAGTATTGAGTAGGGTGGCTGAGGAGATCGTTTTAGTTGTTTCTAAAAGAGCAGTTCAACTGGGTAAAATCAATAATGCATAAGATAATTGCCTGAAAGCAATTCGTAGTCATTAAAATTCCATGTATCAATATATAAATTTAATTTTGTTTTTATCCCAAAGGTCTAGTTTATCCGAACTGCTTGAAAACATGTATGTCAATGTTTAGATTTGTATCTAAATGCACTCACAAACAAAGGAGATACTGCAAGCCAAATAGTAATTGGAATGAACAGTAACAAAATGCTAAAAAACTATTCTTCAAAAAAAGCCCCTATGGCTGGGAATGCAGTCTGTGATAATGCTTCGTGCAGATGAGCAGCCTGAGTTCATAAAATTTAATCTGCATTGGAATCTGCTTCCTCTGTTTTGTTTTTACCACTTAAAACTAAAACATGTTTTAAGATTTAAAAAAAAAAAAAAACAAAACAACCATCTTCTATTTGTCAGGAGGTATACCAGATAAAGATCCCTTTGGCTAAACTGTAATTAGAGAAGACCAATCTTTTAAAATTTTTTGCAATAACTAATCAGTGCAATACTGATTTCTCACCCTTTATAAGATGTAAAAATCAGTATCTTTTTGTCAGGTAACAGGAGTAACCTTGTTTGTATGTACAACTTCCACGCTCTGCAGTATGTAGTCCTTTAGCAGAGTTTGGGCCAGAGTAAACTTCTTGGCTTAATATCAGGATCTTGTTACTCTTGTTCTTAATCAAGAAACACTTTTCCTTATTTATACCTTTCATCTCACCTATTATTCCAGGGTTAATTTCTGTAACTTTCATTTGTGTTATGCAAACTTAGCAAAATCATGATAGTAATGGTTCATTGAATGTGCACCACTAAATTTTTATACTGAGAAAGTATTATTTATATAGAGTTCAATATGTTAAAAATAGAGTTTCGCATTTATTTCTTTGCAAAGTTGAAGCAAACTTAATGCTGAATCTGCAAACTCTGAATGGGTGCTATTCTTGACTCTGCTAGAAGTAAGTAATGCTGTGGATTTAAAGTTGTTCACGTTAACGTGTAGTAACTACACAGACATCAGCGAGGCACTTCCGTTCTCTGGCATTTTTTGTAGGTAGCTGTCTCTTAAAACACAATAGCGCTGAATATCTTATTACAGATTTTCATGTCAGTCTTATGCTTTAAAAGCCATAAAATATTGGCTTTGTTAAAAAATGTAAAAGAACGTTGTGTCAGAGCTTGGCAGTATATTTAAGTGGCTGTTTCCAGTTGCTGTGTCAAGCAGATGTCATGCTGGTTGGATATAGATAAAGGTATATAAGTTTGAGTTCCTGGGCATGAAAATTGTCAGCCATCAATATCTTATAAATGACTGTTTCTGTTTCGCAGAATAGGGAAGAACAGAAAAATTTAAATGAACAATTAAAATATTTTCTGTTACACCATAAAACTTAGATTGTGGTAGGCTTGTATAGATTGTGTTTCTGAAAAATATGGATAGTGTTGACCACAACCTGTTTGCTGGTTTGCTTCTGGTTTATGTGGGGTGTTGGTTTTGGTTTGGGGAGCTTTTTTATTTGGGGGTGGGGTTGTCCCACCCACACATAAGAGAGAGACATTACCATTTTTTAATTTAAGTCCTTTAGTTCCCCTCTCTGGATATGAGGGGCTAGCGTAGTTTTCTTAGAATGGAATAGCTCAATCTCAGAGTATCCTTTTCATCTCTAGTCGAAAAGCTGATGTCTTTCAACACCATGTCTTTAAACGTAACGTAATTCATGGATGCAAAGAGTTGAATTTAATGTTTATGAATTGAATTGCCAATTATTACTAGTTTTATCACAGTAGTTTTATATGCATGTTTCCAAAAAAACAGTAGATATAAACAAAGAAGTACAACGTTTTTTTTTCACACCCATATCTGCATTGATTCTTATGTAAAAGCATCCCTTTGGGATCTACAAGAGGCTTAATTTGGATCCTGGAATAATAATCTAATCCCATGAAATGTAATTAGAGTTGTGATTTTAATATTAATAAGATAAGTAGCACAAAGTTCTAAGTCATGTATAAATTCTATGATTAAATATTTTTTCATTTTAAAATTACAAGGATGAATTCCGAACTTCAAATACGTTCTTGTGCAAGAGTATTGCATATCAGTAGTTTGTTAGTACCTGCCGCTGTTTCGGTTGGTGCATATAAGATTATTTTATTTTATTTACTGGTTGTCAGAGGCTAAGTTACAGACAAATTTTAACATAGCATTGGTTCACAATATAAGCATTGACTATTAGAGGAAATTAAAAGGGTCACATTTACAAAGTCGATCATAATGTCATCCTGGTTTGTATATAATGTTGTCATCTGTTTGCCATATTATTACATTAATATTTGAAATAGTAAAAAAAGATTACTATCCTAAGCTATTGAAGTAACCAGTCTTGACACTTAACACTAATTAAATTTATTCTTTGACATAATTATTGTGCTTATGAACACTCTAACAAAAAGACACTAATTAGTGGGAGAAACTGAGATGTAGATGACTTTTGTCAGAATGATAAACAAAAAAAATTATAATGAAGGCAACAACACAGAAGATTCCTCGCTACCTTGTAAGAAAATTGTCAGCAAAATAGACAATGCTTGCTGTAGAATGCATTTTTAAAAACCCCAAACATTAATATTTTAATACTTTTAATATGTAGGAGGAACTGTTTTGCATATAGTTGAGGTGATACCAGTTACCATTAAAAAGCCGCCTTCTTTTGACCGTAATTAAGGGCTGCTCCATATGCCCATGTAAATGTTGCCTTTATTGAGAACTTGAATCAGCTCAAATAGTGAATCCTGTTCAAAGATAACAGAATATGTTGTTATAAGTTAGGGAGAAGTTATCCAACGGTAATATGGTGGAAAAAAATGTGAGTTTTTCTTTGGAGAGACCTGTGTGGACAGTTAACGCAGAAGTAGAACAGAGAGAAGACAGGCCGTTTCAGTTCTCCTGTGCGATGTGTTAGGTCAGCTTCATAGCCTTGTCCGTCTTTCACCTATATGTAGCTTATCTCACAGCCTTTTCAGTAGTGGAGGTGAGACTTTTGACACATGATGTTTTGTTTCATCAAGTTGCAAGTGCTGACAATGTTGTAATGGCAGTCTGTTTGACATCTAATGGGAAAACAGTATCACAGTTCTGAAAGTCACTCCTCCTGATATTGTTGACTAATACTAGTGTGAACTAATCAGTTTTCCTAAGTCAGAGGCAAAAGGGAAAAGAGGGACTTGGGGATGAACAGGACGTTTAGGAAGGATCCCAAATTAAATAGAGGGAGGGTTGTTGGGTTTTTTAAAATTCATGTTCATGCTTTATGACTGTCAGCACAAGTGGTATTCCTTCCCAAGGAAGGCAAAGTGTTTCAAATAGCACTGGAAGTCCTCTCCTTGATTATTAATAATTATATACAGTCTCTATAACAATGTTACGAACTTTCCTCTTGAATTTAAACAGCCAAATGCTAATATTATTGTGTCTTACTGGAAAATTACCACTTTCTACAGCACTTCTCTGTTTTTGAGAATGAAAAATCTGAGATTTATTAAACAAGTCTACATCTGAGGCATGGCCCTTAGCAACAGGAAGGAATGAGCTCGAACCTGCCTGTAGGTTGTTTTTTGTTCTTAATCATTCTGAATATCCCAAGAAGAATCTGTCCCCTTTTAAGTCTTTGGGAGACTTCACTTGACCTGTTTTGTCTGTCTATGAGAGCAGTTTTGTTCTTCTTGTCCTGCAGAAAGTCCCTTTCGCCTCCAGTTTTACCTTCCTGTCCATTAAGTCTATAGGGAGCACATAAATCACTGTTCAAGACTTCTCACTGTTTCTCCACTCCCCTTAATAGAAGGAACTGTAGAAGCACTGATGCAGCGATGCAGAGAACACTCTCTTCTCCCATAGTATGCATGAAAGAATGTGACCAATGGACAAGAAAATACAGCTAATTCCGCCAGCTATAATAACCAGCTTTCTGCAAGGTAAAGAACCAGCCTTGTATCTGCCCCATGTCAATGGTGTTAGGTTACTCATTAGCCTTTCACACACAAGGTAGTAGTATCTAGGTGAATATTCGGAGATGTTTTCCTTTCATACAGACTCAGCTGGAAAAAGACAACTTTGTTAACTTCCTTAAATTTGAAAAGAAGCTTTAAAAAGAAGACAATAAAGCTCATGGCACTGTTTTGAAATCTGGCAGTAGTTCTGAGTGAGCAGTTGAGATTTCTGAGTAGGGCCTCAAACATACTAGTAAAGTGAAGTCAATGTGATGGTTTCAACAGATGAAACAAAAACCCCAGATCATAAAAAATATACATGTCCCATTTCATGGGGTATATTCATTTTTAAAAAATTCTTTATAAGGAGTACTTAATAATTGCAAGAGCAATTGGATAATGTGAACTTAGGGTAGATTTCAGAAAGTTAGAACTCAGTAAAGTAACACAGGGTTTTTTGATTTAAAGGTTTTTCCATGAGCTATATTCTTTATGGTGAAGCTAGTAGTTATGTTGTATATCTACAAATTGCAATCTGATTTCCTCTTTAAAAGATCTTAGCTTAATGTATAAGTAGTGGTATTTAGAGTGGCAGGTTTTTGTTATTTTTATAATAATTTTTCAAATCTTTTTGAGTTCAAACAGTGTTTGCAGGAAAGAAAATGCTTCTGTGAATTACAAAAAAAAAAAAAGTTAAATAGGTTAAGCCCCCTGCCTTCTCAGAACTTTAAATGGGCAAAAACTGAATGTTAAGTATACAAAAAATAAAATCTAACATGCCAATTCTAGGGGGAAAGGAGCTGTCAGCTGAAGAAAGTTATTTAGCTCTTCATGCGATGTAATTTGTAAAGTTTCTTTAATACAGGTTTTCAATTCACATTATTTTGCGATGTGCTACACTTACTTAAAAACAAACACCAAAACTGGCTCACTTAAAAATATTGAGAAATAGAAATGTCCAAATTGTTCAAATTTATTTCTCATTTCTCCTTCGGTACTTGCAGATTTTTAAGTGGGGGGTAGGATATTTCCACATTCATTCCTCTGCCTCATCATAAATTCCCTCATCTGTACCATAATTGGGTTAAATATTGCTGAAGTATCTTGCAGAATGTTAAAATACATTTTAGGATGTGTCTCGGCCATCTTCAGGGGGGAAAAATAGCATGCTGAGTAGAATTCTTGTCAAATGAAAACAAAAGCTTACAAGGAGTTGACTAGCTTAGGCAATGCTCTGAAATAGGGTATTGTTCTATGTTTAAAATAAACATAGCACTTCCTGTTTAGGAAAATAAAAGTTGAGCAGTGAAGGTGTCTTTAATGTTTCCACGTGTCCACCTTGTTTTAATAGGCTTACTCTCAAGAACATCATGTATGCCTTTGAATGCGTGCAAGAAGAAATTGGCACATCCCTGCAAAGTTATTACAAATAACTATACGTTTTTCCAGGTTTTGTATAATCTTTCCTAGTAACTTCGGAAGTGTTTTCCCACTGTCATCTGCTTGTTTGTCACAGCTTATTAATTCACAAAAAGCTTGTCTGCTGAAAGTGACTCAAAAGTATGCGGCAGGTGGGAGAGGAAGCCTCCAGTTTACTTGCCCATGTTTTCTCTGCTGACACCTAGGTTTGTCTTGTTCTTTTCAGCCGACGTCCCAGTGTGGTGCTTCTGTCCCTAAGATATTAAATCACCTAGAAATTGTGTGGCTTCGAAATTCAGTTGGAGTAAAGGCTTGCATCAACAAGGTCAAGGAAAGGGACTTCCAGTCCATGTTTTAGAAACATTTGTTTCTTCTGGGAATGAATACCACGAGCTTTGAAGGCATATTTAGAAAGGAGGAGGTCTTCACTACTGTGAACAGCCTTATATTTTCTTTCAGTTAATGTTTTACACAGTATTTTCTTGGTAGTTTGTTCCTTTGGGGAATTGTATTGCTCTAAAAAGAAAATTCAGCTTCAGATATTGCCTCCTTATTGAAAAAAAAAAAACAAAACAGCAAACCTTTAAAAAAAAATCATACAGTTCTCAGTCAACACAAAATAGAGGATATCTGTCTGCAGTCACCTTTACCAATGTATGTTTCTCAGTGCTTATTCAAACTTGTGCACAAAACTGTGTGCATGCTTAATTGGAAATTCTAATCTTTAACTCCATGGCATCAGAAATAGCTTTTTCCGTAGGAGTTTTGTTCCATAGATGTCTGTGGAGCTTGCTTCAGTTCATTAGGTAGTGAAGACAATTTAAACCATGATTGTCCACTAATTCTGGTTACAGGTGACCTGCGTATACTAATTGTAATCTTTTTAGAGCTTTTTATTTTATGTGCTGGTTCTCCCCTGATCTTTCCTAGCAGGAAAATAATTCTAACTTTTGTAGACCTTCACTTTTTTCAGGTCACTTAATAAGAGATCAAGACTCTAAAACATCTTCTCTAACTGTTTTGATGTTATGTGGCTAGATTTATCTTCTTAGTTTCTTTTGCCAGTGATGAATACATGCCCAAAGCGTTTTTACTTTGTTTGGTTTTCCCCTACCCACAACTTTTTAGGAATTGATCCCACTCATACTGTGTACAGCCTGCCTCCATCCTGAACCCAAAGAGAGAGATCAGCTTCTACACATACTGTTCAATTTGATCAAACGACCAGATGATGAGCAAAGGTGTGTTTGCGTTTGTGTGTTGCGGGACAAGAAGGAACTTTTTTTCTTTGTCAAAGAAGCAGAACTAATAGAAACTGGATATTATTGGATAATTTTAACCAAGTTTCACTTAAGCTGATATTTTGCTGGTATAGTGTTGACAAATTTATGCGGACTTTGGGACTTTCCATTGCCATGATCTGTACTTTCTAGTTACTGAAATGTAAGAATCTGCTTGGTAAGCTTCAGTGTAACGTTTCAGTTCCTTTTTTGTTTAAAGATGAACTGAAACACTTTGTTAAAATGAGCTTTAAGATCACAATTCTTAGCAGTGGTTGATATAGAAATCAAAACAGCATTTTTAAGCCTCTTAGTGTATCTTAGTGATCTATATGTTTGTAAGTTAACTATCATGTTTAGTTGGGGAAAACAGCATGAGAAAATAGTACTCTTCCTACTTACCGTTCAGTACCTGAGTACTGTTCAGTATTCAGGTAGCAATAAAAAATTCAGAAGACTGAAGCAGTGATTTAGTTCTGACAAGTGTCAAGAGCTTTGTTTTATTTTGGTTAAGACTTTGAAACAAAGTGTACTTTTTATTTTGTTTTATAAATGTGGTTCTTCCTTAGTACTCAGGAAATGTGACTTTGTTTGTACTGATCTTGATAAGAATATCCTTAAGGTTGAAAGACAGCACCCTGGCTGGTATGTTTCCTTCTCTGACTGTGGAAAGATTTTTCATATTTGATCTGTAGCTCTTCCATTATTTTCATTAGAGAAGTTTTGTAAAGCATCTGTATCTATCGTTGCTCTATTCTGTCTTCAGACAAAACAGGCTTTATGGAATAGGTAGAAAGCATTTCTTTTGAAGATTCTCTGAAACTGAAGTGTTTTGGTGTCTTTCTAAATTGTTCCCATGGTAAAATTTAGAGATGAGGTACAATTGAAAGAGATGGCTTTGGAGACAAAAAAATGCATAAATAAGTAAAAGCAACTTGTAGCACAGTGGCACCATGCAGATTGAAATTACAAAAAGATGCAGTCCTTGTTCTAGTTCAGATTCATTAGAAATCTGCTTCTGAGACATCTACCATTATTTAAAATGTTCTGAATGTCCCGTGCAGATTGAGAAGTTGAAATTATTTTGTGGTTGAGGGGGGAAGGAAGTTACATCTCGCTTGTAGTCTCTTGTAGTTAATTGCCACAGGATTGGTGGCCTATCAAGTAGATTTTTCATATGCCTGTTTAGCTGTAGTTAGGTGTGTCTTTTCCAGCAGCTAAGAAAGAAGAAAATCCAAGCTTCTTTTTCCTTGAAGCTGTTCGTTCTTTGTTGTGAGTTAAGAGACTCATATCTAAAAATAACTCATTTTCATCAGAAATTTGGGAAGAATATTCTGCCACAACCTCCAGGACAAAACCTGTGTGTACATAATATACATTTACACACATTAAAATTATAATCTGTTTTAAAGGTGCCATAACACCTGACTGAAGAATAAGTAAAATTCCATCAAATAAGAGATTCTGAATACAAATTAGATAGAAAATACTTATTCAGAATTTCAGTCGGTTTTTTATACTTATATATTTGTATGGAAGTGTATTATGCATGCTTGTTTTTTATCTAAATAAATTTAAATAATATTTTAGCAGTCTTGTGTGATATGAAGTAAGCAAAGACATTCAGGTTTAGTCACCAGAACAATGGTATTAATTATCTCATATGTTGTTTGTTTACCTTGTGCCATACTGTACAGGCCTACCTTATACATTAAAGTAGCAGTTGATAACAAGTTGACTTTTTAAATTTGTTAAATGCAAGAGATTGAAATGTGACATTTTATTTCTAATAATGAACCCATTAAAATAAGTATTTTACTTTAAATGTTTGACCTTGTAAAGTACGTTAACCATTATGCGGAAAGCCTGTATTATACTTCTTGCCTATGCGAGAGGCTTTTTGGTGCATGCAGGTGTAGCATATTGCCATAGTCTTGTATCCTAATGTTATATTCAACAAAGCCACTTTTATCCTCAAGGCTTTGCTCATTAATGTACTATTCAACTTTTCAAAATGTATCAAATTCTCTTCTGCAAAGGAACAAATATGTGTTAGCTTTACTTAAACTTCTTTTTGGACAATTATGTTGGTTTTGGAAGCTAAGGAGCCATGAAGAAGTCAGATTAATGTTGGGGTCTTCTAGGACAAAGTTAAAACATAGTTCAAAATGTGAACTCTTGAAGATTTCCAAGTTATGTACCCAGAAGCAGCACTCTTAAAGAAAAGAAGCTAAAATACATTAAGCTTAGTGTATCTAGTATGACTTTTCATTGGTCATATGATGCCACCTCTTACAGTGCATACATAACTTGCTGACATATTAAGGAAAACTCTAGTAAAAAAGTTTTTAACATAACCTTTAGGAGTGACAAAAGAACCTTGAACTGTGTAATATAAGATTGGATTGCTTACCAGTGCATGCAGTCACTTTCTAAAACCTCTAGAAAGAGTTTAGAAGTGTTAAATTATGTCTGTTCTACTCTAACTTCTGCCTTGTTCCTCTAGTCTGATTCTTGATTTCACTTTGGTTTCTGTACTGATGAAGCAAACTAGTGCTCTGTTGAATCATACTGATTTGCTTTATATTCTTGCCTAAGTGATTTTAAGTGCATAACCTGGAGAGAGCTCTTTGAGGAAAGGATTCCCAGCATCTTGTTAACAAAAGAGATTATGACAATAAGGATAAAGAAGTTTTTCCCATATCCATCCTAGACTGCAGTTTTTGCAACAGCTTAGCGTTAACAGTTTTTGTTTCAATGACCTGTTGTTGAGATCCTTACAACCTGTCCTTCTCCTGAAATACCGACTGTTGTCATATACTTTTAAGATGGTTACAGTAAAATTATTTAAAACATTATTTTTTAATATTTTTGCAATATCTTAAAGTTCCCTACTTTATAGGCAAGGCAAAAGGAAATCTGAGTTAATTTTGAGATTTCATGGAACTTTTTTGAGAAGATTTGATTTTAAAGAAAAATTATATATTTTGGTTTTCCCCATTTTTAATGCAGAAAATTTCAAGCGATTACTGTATTCTGCTATTTGCTTTTTTAATATCTTGTAAAAGTATATTCTTTTGCCCAGTTTTGTGATTAGGTGCAGTGTGTAAAACCAAAGACAGGCATTTGAATAACTATTTTGTTTGTTGTAGAACTCAGAATTACCAGAGGTTTTTGTCTCCATATTGCTATCGCATATCAGCTGTTGATTTCTTGAGTCTTATCTAATCATTGCATTTTTGTTTTCCCCCAACCTTTTTACCTTGATCAAAGGTCTAGTTCTCTGTACATGGAGGGGGGAACCACAACCAAAACCAAAGAACTTGCTCTGATTTTGGCCTAAAGAATGCTGGGGGAAAAAATCTTTTTATTAGACTATTTCTCCCTGAAAAGATTCTGAAAAAGGGTCTTTTTTGATGGAGTATATTGTATAACTGGTTAAGAAATAACCAGCAGAATCTCTGCCTTTCAACCTTAAGGGCATACTGTTAGCTGCAGTAAATATTTAGGAGTTTAGACATGACACTAAAATAGTAACAAATTAATTCTGGCTTACTTTCCACAAAGTAATAATGAACAAATTCTCAGTGGTGTCCTGATCTTACTGTGGAGGTGATAAAATGAGTGTCTCATGTCCCCGCATTATCGTTTGAAACTGGTTATTTAAGTGTTGATGTAAGCACTAAAAGTAAATAGAACTGGTGAATTTGCGTGCAAAGTTGCTATCATTCCAATCCTATTAACAGGAGAATAGTTAGAAGTAAAGAATCTTAGCAAGATAAACGCTCATTGAATAAAAGTTAAAATATCACAAATGACAGTTAAGTACAATTTTATTGAAACTTTAAATAGATCTCTGTGCCTATGAAATTGATGGAACAACAGCGATTTCTTGTAAATGTTGAGGAAAGTTAAAAAATGCAAGAATATAAATACAAATGACTCACATGATCGTAGATACTGCTGATTGATTAATTGCTTGCCTTTTATAGTAGGCTTTTCTGACAAGAGTAAAGTCCAGTATTTTGGGAGAGATGACAGTAACTTGCATGTTAGAATGCTGCAAAACCATGTCATGAAAGAATTAAGTTAGTTGTTTTGAACAAAGTTCATTAAATCTCACGAACGTTTCTAAATAAAAGCAGTATGTGTACTTGACTAAAATACTGATAGTATGATAGTATTAAGTAATTTAGATCCTGTTACTGCGTGATGAGTCGTAGTATTGAGTAATAAGAATTAAATGAGAGATTTAGCCAGAGATTCCCAATCTCAGACATCAGGAAATCAGCGATTCCCAAATCGGAGATTCTCAGGCTCTGGTTCATGGACTTTGGGATCTGCAAGTTTCTGGAAAAGGCATATTAAATAGAAAACAAGTTAGAATCGTAGTCAGTGTGTGATGTGAAATTTTGACTGTAGGCAATTACCTGTTGCCTGACAGCATCTGCTTTTCCTAACTTAAAGCATATATTTTATATATTATAGAACTTTATAAACAGATTAAAGCTTTAAATTTATGTTTTCAGACAGATGATACTGACTGGATGTGTGGCATTTGCCCGACATGTTGGACCAACACGTGTAGAAGCTGAGCTTTTACCACAGTGTTGGGAACAGGTAACTAATTATTTTGTGCTTTACGCTGGAAAAATAGTTAAAAATTCACAGAAGTTGAGTTTTATTTGTTTGGGGAGGGGGGTTGTTTTGGTTTTGTTTTTCAATGAATGGCAATTCAAAGTATTTTTCAGAAAGATTTTTGGATGTTCTTTGTCCTTATTATATATACTTCTATATAACATTAAAAGGAACTCAGAAGCAGAAAATTTGTCAAAGACTATATGGAGGTTCTAGTTACCTGCATATGTATGTTGTATTGAAATGTAGATGTGCACATGTTCATCATCAGTGTTGCCTAACCTATTGCCAGGTAGGTGCCTTTATAATTTGTACTGTAATTTCCAGATTGTCGGAAATCTGTTTTCATTCAAAGATTTCATTCGCTGATTTTTATATTGTATTATAGCCCCTGGAGCAGTGTCCACACTTCAGCTAGTTTAAATTCTTAAACAGAAAATTAAAGATCAAAGTAGTCAGAAGTAAGTCCCCTGTAGATGGGCATGATTTTACACCTATAAGATCAGCCTGAAGTTTACATGTGACTTCTAGAATCACAGTGACCTTTTCCACAGATATTCTAAATTAATAGAAATAACTGAACAACCAAACTGAAATGCTCTTACTGTTTCATCTGAGGCATAGAAACAGAACAACATGAGTTCAGGTGAAAATTCCTACCATAATGAAGAAAAGGGAGTTCATCATTGCCTAAAAGACGGTGAATAACTAAGCCATGACAGTGGTAATGCTTGCTTTGACAGCACCGTCTTTCTGGTCTGATAATTGTCTACTGTTTCTTGCATGATGCAGCCATCTGTGTTTCACAATAAAGTCCAAGCTTTAATAGTCTTAATGCTTTCTGACAGTAGAAGTACATATTATATGCAGCATTTGTGCTTATATGTATGACTGATGTATCTACTGATTAAATGAAGGACTCATGGCAATAGTAGTTGAACACAAAATAAATCAAATTTTGCTTTTTTAGTCCTTCTCATGAAATTTAAACAGTGTTTAAAAAAAAAGTCTCACCTCTGTAAGCACATATCTTCATCATACCAGTTTCTTGCTAATTGCTGATGCAAAAGAGAAACCAGTCCAACTGTAACAGTACAGCATATCAGGCTGCCAAGCCATATGTCATCATGCGGTTATTTAATGCAGTTTGCCAGACTTTGTTTGCAGTACTGAAACCAGGTCATTATTTTCTTCGGCAAAATACCAGCTAAATCTCATTGTCCCAAGACTGAGTTTGTAGAACGAACTCAAAAATACACATAATTTTCTACCTTTTCTCAGTAGATGCTTTAATCATGAAAGCATTCATGCAGTTGGTCTCAAACCAAAAATTTATTTACAGATGCAGAGGACTGGGCCCTCAGAAGATTCAGCATTTTCATCCATATGTTCTGGAGCTCAGAGTTATCAGGCTAGTCTTTGTGATCTTTCTACCTGCTCTTCACAGGTAGAATTTGGTAGTTGCTTCATCTGAGTTTAGATCAAGGCTCTGTGAACACTAACAGTTCCCTCAGAACTAGTGACCAGTTAATTGGCTTCCAAAATTGTACTACTCTTATTAAAGACAAAAGGAAAAGAAATGTTAATAAACATTTTACAGTTGTGTTTAAGTTTCCAAGGGCTAATAATCTTCCCTGAACACAAAACTTGCAGAAATTTGAGTCTCTCTTCCTCCAGTGTGTCAGTACGTCTTTGCAATATCAGGGATGATATTTATATTGCCTTACCAGTCCACCTAAACCAGGTGAAACTAATCTTTGCCGTTTCCTCAGGTAGACAGAGCTCCAGAAGGCAAAGTGTATCTCTGTTACCAGTAGGGAATTTGCATTTGGAAAGATGGCACATAAGTCAAAGATACTATAAGTATTAAAGCAGCCTGTTTCGTGCCCATAATGTTTCTCATCTATGAAATCTCCATACTTCCAAAAAATATTACAGGTGCCCTACTGATGAATGAATGCAAAATAATGATAGACACACTCAAAGAATGTTTTCCCATGCTTGAGAATTCAGTTTAGTCCTGAAGCTCATGATTTGTTCTTTTGAGTCTCTTTCAAATGATCTTTTCCACAATTCATTCTTGAGAGAGTTCTTGGCGATTTCAGATCAGAACATTGAGAAAGTTGAAGACACTAATACTACATCAGTGGCCAGATACCATTGTTCAGTGTGCTATGGAAATAAAGTCAAGGTAAGAAGTTGTCCAAAGTTGATTTACTACGATGTCTTCATCTGCAGTTTCTCCTAAGCCAGTAGAATTGAGAGAATCACAGAATGGCTGAGGTTGGAAGGGACCTTTGAATATCTTGTGGTCCAAGCCCCCTGCTTAAAACAGAGTTAACTAGAGCAGGTTGCTCAAGATCAAGTTCAGTCTGGTTTTGAATGTGTCCGAGGATGGAGGCTCCGTAACATCTCTGGGCAACGTGTTCCAAGGTTTGGCCACCCTCCCAGTAAAACAGAATTTCCTGTATTTCGTTTCCTCTTGTCCTTTCATTGGGCACCTCTGTGTTCTTTACCTCTCTGCAGATAGGTACAGATATTTATACATATGGACAAAATCCCTCCTGAGCTCTCTCTTCTCAAGATCAAATAATCCCAGCTCTCTCAGCCTCCCCCCATATATCAGATACCCCGTCACTTAATCAATCTTCACGTCTCTCCGCTGGACTTGCTCCAATATGTCTTTTTCTCTGTAGCTGGGAAACCCAGAAGTGTACACAGCACTCCAGATGTGGTCTCACCGGTGCTGAGTAAAGAGGGATAATCACTTTCCTTAGCTGCTGGTGATGCTTATCCTAGTGCTGCTCAGGATACTATTTGTCTTCCTTGCTGCAAGGAGTGCATTGCTGGCTCTGCTTGGTATCTGACAGGCCCTTCAGATCCTTCTCTGCTAAGCTGCTTTCCAGCCAGTTGGCCCACAGGCTGTCCTGGTGCATGGGAATTATTTCTGCTCAGGTTCAGGACTTTGCGCTTCCCTTTCTTGAACTTCATAAGAGTCCTGCCCGTTTCTCCAGCCTGTTGAGGTGCCTCTGAATGGCAGTACACCCATCTGGGTATATCAACCACTCCTTCCAGTTTCGTGTTATCTGCATACCTGTTGAAGTGCATTCTGTCTTGTCATCCAAGTCGTTAATGAAGATGTTACACATCTTCGTTGTTGGCCCCAGAATCAACCCTTGGGGTGCACCACTGGGGACTGGCCCCCAGCTGCAACCCTTTGAGCCTGTGATTAATTCAGCCAGTTTTCCGTCCAACTGTCCTTATCTAGCCCAGACTTCATCAGTTTGTCAATGAGGATGTTACGGGAAATGGTATCAGAAGTCTCACTGAAGTCAAGATAAACAATATTCACTGCTCTCCCCTTGTTCACTGAACCAGTCATCTTGGAAAGCTATCAGGTTGGTCATGCATGGTTTTTCCTATATAAATATATGCTGACTATTCCCAACCACCTTCTTGTCCTTCATGTGTTTGGAAACACTTTCCAGGATTAATTGCTCCAACACCTTCCCAGGAACTGATGTGAGACAGACTGGCCTGTATTTCACTGGATCCTCTGGCTTACCCTTCCTGAAGATAGCAGTGACATTTGCTTTCTTCCAGTCCTTGGGAACATCCCTCATTGCCACAACATTTCGTTGATTATCAAGAGCGGTCTTGCAATGATATTAGCCAGCTCTCTCAGCACTCATGGGTGCATTCCCATCAGGGCCCACAGACTAGTGTATGTCCAATTTGTTTAAATGTTTCCTGACCTGATAATTCTCTACCAAAGATAAGTCCTCTTGCTCCAGACTTTCACATGGGTTTTAGGGACCTTGGACTACTGAAGGCACGTCGTCCCAGTAAAGACCGAGACAAAGAAGGCAGTGAGAACCTTGGTCTTTTCTGTGGTAAGATGGTTGTCTTACCAAAGCTATACACTGCATAGCAAGAGAGAAAGAAATAGTCACACCACATGCATATCCTGTTTTATCTGACAGGATCAAACTATTCACATTTCCCTCTCACCTTTTTACCCTAAAATATTTTATTCACAAAGTATATTGAAACATATCACATTTCATTGTACAACCGTCACACTGGCCATTAAAAACTGACTCCATCAGAATGCAAACTTGGTTCCAAAGTGTCAATATTAAATTTGTAAGGCAGAATTTTCGAACGGCCTTTGAGTGGAAAGGGGAGGTAGCACAGGATCAAGAGGTTCTAGGAGCACAGGATCAAGAGGTTCTAGGGAATAGGAGTTGTTTTCAGTCACATTTTAGAGGCGTGACATGTTTATGCTGGACTTGAGAGCGGAACTTCAATAGCATGCAAGTACTGTTTGGCTTAGTACATGTGTCTTCTTTTGACCCCGATTGCTCAGCAAGACCTACACATCTATGCTACACTGGTTGGCTCAGAGCACTAGAGGGCACTTGTGTAGTTCTTAGAGGAACGGCGCTCCTGAAGGGCTACACAAGACCATTTCATGACATGCCAGCTCAGAAGTTATTCGTATTCTTTAGAGTACAGCAGCCCATATGTTGCATTCCACCCTTCTTTTTACTGCATATGCATACATGATTCTCTGATTCTTCTCCTACTATAAGCTCTATTTTATAGGACAATGAGAGAAGGCTGTATCTGCCTTACCTTTATGCCTCAGTGCAAGAATTTGAGGCTGCTTAGTACCTATAGGCAACTTCTACAGGCACAGGCAATGTTTGTCTTAGAGGTGCAGACATATCCCTCTGTTGCAGTTCATTCTAACCACATTTTGAATACTGTTTCTGCAAAGCAAATAGCCATTCTCTTTCTCTTTACCAGATCAACCACAAATACCCAGAGAGACGGCTACTGGTAGCAGAATCCTGTGGAGCTCTAGCACCTTACCTTCCAGTAAGTATTAATACTGGCTCTAAATACTTTGCTAGTGAAAGCAAGGTGAAAATCTGTTGCATAATGTAAACATCCTTTATCATTTTAAATATTCCCAAATGTGTATGTTATGCATAGACAGTCATATTGTCTTCTACTTTATATCACACATGTGAGATTCAATAGATTGCATTAAGGAGGAGATAGTTTCTTGTAAAGGAATACAAGTCAATCTAGCTATAAAATTTCTTTAAAAACAGTATGTTCTGAAAAAATCATCTTTGTAAAGATGAAGCAAAGGTAGTTAGGACCAATTAAGGAAATAATCTCTGAAAAAATAATTGGCACCCAATAATAGAGTTCTTCAGACACTGTGGAATGTTACATGAAGAGTACTGCCAGTCAGAAGAAGCAGCAAAATTAAGTCAGTGGTGAACTAGAATTTGAAGCTTCAGAGAAAGAGGAAAATAACCCAAATTAAAAACCCACTTCTCCAATTCAGCAATGCAGTGATTAAAGATTCTGGTTTAAGTCTAGGCCTGTAGTAATTTTTTGCTGTTAGTTATTTTTGGTTCCATATGAATTAAAGGACCTGAGTTCTGTGCTTAGTAGGACAAAAGCCTCTCTAATGAGGCTACTGACACTTTATATTCATTCATCTTCTGTTGTAAAAACTGAATATGTAATACTCATAAAGACATCTATGGTTGGAGGAAGGGATTTTGTTTGTGAGCACTAATAGAAGTGCAAATTATTTCTAAAAATCAATATAAACCCGTATTTCTTGTTGCATTGGATTTAACAAGTATGTTTCTTGTTTACAAACAGAAAGAAATTCGTAGTTCATTAGTACTTTCCATGCTGCAGCAAATGCTAATGGAAGATAAGGCAGATCTGGTACGAGAAGCTGTGATCAAAAGCCTTGGCATCATTATGGGATATATTGATGATCCGGACAAATATCAGCAGGTATAATTTGGTTTGGGTTCTGTATGTATAAAATGTCTTCTGTAGTTATTTCATGAATAGAGGGATGCATAATTTCATTATTTTTATTAAATCTTTCAAGATACTTTTAAAAATTTTGATTGTTTATAGGAATGTTGATTTTATTGTATCACCAAGACCAAAAAGAAAACATACTTACAAGTATCATTAGAACCTCAGGTATAAGCCTTATACAGAAGGTTCTCTAATAATTCATAATTTGCCTTCAAGAACATACCACTTCATTGCCCACATGATACTATTAGCCAATTTGATATCATCACTTGCTAACAGATTTGTCTACTACAACAAAGCCTGCTTGTAGTTCAACTTAATACTACCTAATAATGTTTCAGATAAGTAAAAATGAAGAACTTCTAATCCTGTCTTTGAGTTTCTGAAGACAGAGTGGTAAAATGTATTTGTATTGATTCTGATAACTTGACTGTAGAGAAACACTAGCAGGATCATTGAACCACCTACTCTTTACCTTTGTAGATGTGGTGGGATATCTGTTGAAAGGCCTCCATGTACTACCTTGTTTTATTTTTATTAATGTAAAGTTTTAAAAATAGATTATAATCTTTTTCTAGTCTGCATGTTTTGTGTGGGAAATTTTAGGAAAATAATTACATTCTTTACTGTCTTTTGCCAGGGCTTTGAACTGCTGCTTTCAGCCTTAGGAGACCCTTCAGAACGTGTGGTTAGTGCAACACATCAGGTATTTTTACCTGCTTATGCTGCCTGGACAACAGAACTGGGAAATTTACAGTTCCATCTCATACCTACACTGCTTAATAAAATTGAAAAATTGCTCAGGGTATGTGTTCAGCTCCAATTCTACGTTGGAGAATTTTCTTTGTATCTTTATTATATATGCAGACTTTTTTAAAAAATACAAAAACGTAAATAATTCCTACTTAATGTTCTATAGGGGAAAAATTTTCTGGAGATTTTTGTTGTAACTCCATAACTTTTACTTGTCCTTTGGAAGAAGGAAAAAAATACGAACACCAAAACCCCAAAAAACAAACATATTCTGCTTTAACAATGTTTTGCTTTATAGCACAATAATCAAAGTGCAGTTCAGAAGACACTTGCCTGAGGCTGTGACCAGATGATATGTGTTATACTGAGTGCATTTGCCCTATATTTAAATTGGTTTTAAGTGTCACGTAGTGTAGTTTTTAATAAAGTGCAGTATTTATTTAAAAAAAAAAAAAAAAAAAAAAAAAAGGATTAAATGGTTTAGTTAGGTCATTTGCAATTATGAGCCAGTTTGTCTGCATGCTTGATTTGGTAGATATCTGGAAAGTTTTGGAAGATAGGGTATCTCATAACGATCGAACACACTTAACCAAGACGCTTGTTTTCAGAGTACAGGCGACTAGTTTATTCAGTTTTTAGGTGCATTGGTCTCTGAGACCAAAGATTCACATTTCCAAAATGTTCTGAAAAATGTTCTTTCGGAATATCAGTATGTTCATCGACATGAACTATTAAATTGCTTGAGTATTTTCAGTAGAAGTGACTTAAGGGTGACAGGGGGATTTGGATGGTGACACAAAGTAAGCTTGTGGTTAGTATAAATTACTACATAATTAGTGTCTCTGTGTAGAAGCTCATCACAGATGTGTTGATCTCTTGCCAGGGAATACATGCCTAAGCAATAGGTCATCCAAACCAAAAACTTTAAGTAAATGTCCTGTTTGTTTCAGGAAGGAGAACATGGCTTGGATGAACATAAGCTCCACATGTATCTGTCTGCTCTGCAGTCATTGATTCCTTCACTGTTTGCACTGGTGCTACAGAATGCACCTTTCACAAGCAAGGCTAAACTTCAGGGAGAAGTACCACAAATAGAAGGTAAATGATTAATTTCTGATATGTGGAATTTTTATAAACTTAAGTAGAATTCAGTGACACATCTCAAATCACTATTAACTGCAAAGGAAGAATTTCAGGAAATAGTCCATAGTCCACATTTACTTGGGATTTGTGTGTGTTTAAGGTTACTACATAAATATAAGTTGTAGAATCTATGTGTACACTTTAGATTTTTATAGCATACTGTCTGCACAAAAATGATTTAAGTTTATGTCCCCAAGCCTTTTTTTCTAATCCACCTGTTCTTTGTGTTGTATTTTCATACATAGCAAGTACGGAGAAAGAAATTCAGGGAACCTCTGTCATGTTGTGAATTTTCTTTCTTTAATGTTGCTGAGTTGACAGAGAGAATTTTTTTTTTGGGCAGATTCCAGCATAGGAAGATTTGTCTTGACTTGTCATGACTTTTTTCTGTGTTCCGTTTTTCCGTTTTTGGGAGAACGTCTTTCTACTTCCTTTCCTCCCTCTGCTCCTACTTCAATCCTATGAAAGAAGCCAGTCTTTCATCAGTCTGACATGAACCCTTATCAGATGTTTAACTAATTACAAATATCAGCTTATTGATGGAGAAGAAATATCTAAGTTGTGAATATTTATGGAATGATTGCCAGTAGAATAAAGGAGAACTAAATGGTATCCTTTCGGATTTTTTTTCTGTATTTACTTAGCAGTGTTACAGGCAAAATGGCTTCTTTGTGCCCAATGACATAGCTTTATGTAATCCAATGAGAGTCTTGCAATGAAATACTTTGTTGTCCTAATACACAACATAAATTGTGAAAAAAATACGGTTTTGCCTTCTGATTTGCCTTTTAAATGTTTTTTCATATTGGTGTCCCTTAGCAAATCCTTAAGTAATGCTTCCTTTTTCCACCCATTTCTATGCTTGAGAGACCTGATTATCACAAAAAAAGTTTTTATTTCAGCTCTCATTATTTCTCTTTACTTCTTAAAAGAAGCTTTTGAGAAAGCTTGGACTTCCTAAAGGTTTCTGAAGAATTGATTTCCTCTAATAGCCAATAATAGCTTAAGAAGGCTGGCCTTAGTTTCAGTTAACTCTTACAAATAAAAAATTTTATGAAGTGGGAAAAATACAGCCTAGTGCAGGAGCTTCACTCTCTGTTATGTATCTATGTAATATCTTAGCAGACTGAATGGCCTCATAGTGAAGTTATACTTAGATCTGCAATCCTAGCCTGTAGAATGTTTTCTCCTGTTACAAATAGTTTTTAAAGATATTATTGGTAATATCAGCCACATGCTGATAATAGTGCTGTGTGTGAAGATGCAAAGAAAGAGTAACAACTTTAAAGGAGAATTTGGAAAGTAGTTAGTGGTACTTAATGTATGATATTAATGTGAAGATGTTAAATGTGCCATGATAAAACTCGTTCAGCTGACTTGAGTCATTTGAAGATGAGCACTTTTTCCCTGAGTAGCTACTACTTAAATAAGGAATTCAAAAATTTCAGGCTTCAGCCTAGTCTGACAGTTTCTTCCTCTGCAAAAGTGGAGGAAAAAAACCTCATGTACTTCTCACTAATCCAGTAGCATTGAAGGAACTGCAAGCTTGCTTTCTTGAATTTTGCGGTAGGAAAGATGATGTTCGTGTTGCTTAACTTCATTGCTGAATAATTTTAAATATGTTTGACATGAATTGGGATTAATAAAAGCAATGTTGGTGTAGCAGGCTTTCAATCCCCAGATATTTTAGTGATCTGGAATTTTTTTGAGGTCTTGCTTTTTACGTGTAAATTACTCTCTTCTGATAATTCAAATAATTAAGGAGTTCGGGGAGGGAGTGGGGAGTGTCAAAAACTACTTCATATATAAAGGTTGGAGCAGTTAAATGATTAAAGTGTAGCGATAGAAGTCAGGAAGCCTTGCCTGCAAGTCATTCTACTGTAAATCTGCGGTGTGTTCTTCGGGATCATAGAATGGTTTGGGTTGGAAGGGACCTTTTAAAGGTCATCTAGTCCAACCCTCCTGCAACGAGGAGGTACATCTTCAACTAGATCAGGTTGCTCAGAGCCCCATCCAGCCTGACCCTGAATGTTTCCAGGGATGGGGCATCTACCACCTCTCTGGGCAACCTGTTCCAGTGTTTCACCACCCTCACTGTAAAAAATTTCTTCCTTATATCTAGTCTAAATCTACCCTCTTTTAGTTTAAAACCATTCCCCCTTGTCCTGTCGCAAGAGGCCCTACTAAAAAGTCTGTCCCCATCTTTCTTACAAGCTCCCTTTAAGTACTGAAAGGCTGCAGTAAGGTCTCCCCAAAGCCTTCTCTTCTCCAGGCTGAATAATCCCAACTCTCTCAGCCTGTCCTCAATAGGAGAGCTGTTCCATCCCTCTGACGATTTTTGTGGCCCTCCTCTGGACCTGCTCCAAGAGGTCCATGTCTGTCTTGTGCTGGGGGTTCCAGAGCTGGACGCAGTAGTAGAGTAGAGGGGCAGAATCACCTCCCTCGACCTGCTGGCCACGCTTCTTTTGATGCAGCGCAGGATATGGTAGGCCTTCTGGGCTGCGAGCATACATTGCTGGCTCATGTCCTGCTTTTCATCCACCAGTACCCCCAAGTCCTTCTCGGCAGGGCTACTCTCAATCCCTTCACCCCTCAGCCTGTATTTATAA